TTACCAATTACAAGGTTCTGAACAGGTGTTTCACTCATGAGGTTCTGCCAAACGCCGCGCATTGCCTGTGAAACAGTCTCCTCGTTAATGTAGCCCAATTGGTATCCGACAACCGTGGGGGATGCACCGCCAGTCGCCTTGAGCGACATGAGAACATCGAGCAACACGGGACCCCACCTAGTAGTCTTTCTCCGAACTTGCTCGATCACAGCGATCCTCTTAAGCGAAGAAGGCAGCATAGGAGCAAGTGATGAGCCCAACCACGGGCGGTACAACCGAGCTGTGATAATAGCCGTGTTGGCATATGCTTTGGTCTCATCAACACTGTCCAACTCAGTAGCAAAGACAGCGGTGTCGGCACCAAACAAGAAAATAGCAGCCTCCTCGTTGCCTGTACCTGAAAAGGCAAAGGCGTCGTAGCTTCGTCCAGTAGCATCCCTTATGGTTGCCCATATTTGTGTGGCGAATCGGTAGATGTCTTCCGAGGAAACAGGCTTTGATATTAAGGACTCAACAGTGGTGGCGGAGGACACTGATGCGGCGCTTGTGCTAGCCTCGCGTTGTGATGATCCGGAAGAAGAGTCACCTCGCTGGCTGTTTCTTTCCGAAACCGGAAGCGACTTGCTTTGGTCTGGGGCAGCGGCCAGTGCTGACGTAGGAGCGGCATTGACGGCCTGGCTGCGAGCGAAACTCAAGGAAGGAGTCCTGCCATCATCTGCGTATAGCGAGGTTTCCTGGGACTTTGAATTTTGGAAGGCCGCCACAGCATCCATGTCAATGACACTCCGGACCAAAGCTGCATCTTCCACCTCTACTGTCTTCCTGAATGCGCTCGCGCCAGAGTCGAAGAAGTGAATGACACCCTTGCCTGACTTGATGGCCAAGGCATGTGCTGTGAGGGCAAGATCTTGCAACTCCTGTAGAGTTTCAGACTGAATGAAGGCAAAGCCAGACTGCCTGATGGAAGTGATGTCGGAGAAATCCGGGTAGCCTGAAGGCGCTACCGATACATGTATGACGACGGGGTATTGAGCGAGTTTGTAGAGGTGGGGTATCGACTTGACAAGAATGGAGGAAGTTGTGGTCACGCTGGTGAGTTTGCCCGCTCGAATGGGCTGGAAGACTGAGAGGAGCGGGTCGGCATTTTGGCGGACGGTTACGACCTGAGGAAGAATGAGTCAATTGCGGTATGTGAAATTGGTGGTTGTTCTAGCATACCTCTGGAAGTGTCTTGGACACAACGCTAGGCGCGTTGTGCTTTTGGAGGCCCTTCAAGGCCTCTGAGAACTCGGACTCGGTCGAGAGGGAAGGAACGACCGACACAATTACGTCGGAGGCCTGGTGGGCGATTCGGGCCACTGCAAACGAATCGAGTTAGTATGAATCATGCCAAAAAAGTAAAAAGTGAGTGTTCCCAATGGGGAGTGTTGGGGTAGAACAATGGTGGGGCGCGTGGTTGCGGGGGAACATACCGGCCTCTCCTGCAGTCGAAATCGAGCCCATGTTGACTGCAGCGTTGCAAAGTAGACAGTAACAACGAGGGAATGATTATGTGGGAGACGAGCAGTTGTAATAGTAGTCGAGCTTCGGGCCGTCGGCGACAGTCCTCATAATCAGCGACAGCGGCAGTGGAAAAATTCCCTTTAAGAGGTCATGACAAGGTACGCCGAAAGCACGCAATATTTTAGTGCAATTCAGCGTCTGGGGCGACGTCGGACAGACGACGAATCAGATGCGGGTAGATTGTAGCTCGGGGTACCTGATCCGACTAGGCTGGGACGGCAGACTCGAGGCGAGGCTATAGCCGGCGTCATCTGTCAAATTCCTATCCGCAGAGCGGCCCTGGGAGGATGGGAGTGCCGTATCTTCACCGTCAGTACAATTCGCCATGGCATGCTTACTTTGCCCTGCGTTGAGTGGTCGGCCGGCGCCTATGGCGCTAGACCGTATTTGGACGTACCGAGGATAGTAGCCGTTATCGATAAGCGAGGGTAGCCAACCTCCACCTGTTCGGCTTGCAGGCAGTGCGACATACTGGCATCATGTGGTCTGAAACAGCACAGCACTCTCCGTACGACCAATCGTCGACACGGCTCTCCTCCTCCTGCTTTCGTGACCGCTTTCACCCGTCCCGCATGTCGACATTAGCGCGCCTATCGCAATGAAGTCTGCCTCTCCATTTCCAGATCCCCTCGTCTCCGACACCCCGCTGCCCCTGCATCAGTTGTGCGCCCGTATCAACAACCGCATAACCGCCTTTCTCGACACCCAGAATGTATCCCAACGCGTAAAGAACGTGCAGAAGCAGACACAGACGTCGCTGCAAGTGCTCGCTGAGGCCTTGGACCGCTATACGTGCGTCTTGATAATGTGGGGCCCATATGCCTATCTGGCTGACACCCATCTAGTCTCCCTGAACTCTCTCTATCCTATAATGGCGGCAAGGACTGTCTCGTCCTGCTCATACTCTATCTCTGCGCCATACACCGCCGCGGCTTGACCAAATCTGCGGATACCTCATCCAGCCCTGAGACCGTCGTGCAGTGCGTTTACATTCAAGACGCGCATCCCTTTCCCGAGGTCGAGGAGTTTGTCGCGCACAGTAGCAAGATATATTCGTTGTCTCTCTTGGAATATGCGAAACCCATGAAAGCCGCTTTTGCCGACTATCTGCGAGACCAGCCCTCCGTCAAGGCGATACTCGTCGGAACCCGTCGGACCGACCCCCATGGCGAACACTTGAAGCATTTTGATCCAACTGATTCAGGATGGCCTGTATTCGTGCGGATACATCCGGTCATAGACTGGCATTATGCTGAGATATGGACAGTATGTGCACATTCATTTTGACTCGCTCTACCTGGCTGACACTGTACAGTTTATACGGTACCTCAACATACCGTACTGTTCTCTCTACGATCTTGGGTACACCTCATTAGGTGGGACCACTGACACACATCCCAACCCGAAGCTAGAGCAGCAATCACCTCCACAACAAACACTGGAAGTTGAGAGTGAAAATGGGACATCCAAGCCCAAGTTTAGACCAGCGTATGAGCTGATGGATGATTATGAAGAGCGACTGGGGAGGGATAAATAGACATCAAAACGCATAAGCGATTCGTATCTATACGTTTTCATATGCGAAGCATCATTAATATATAGATTTTCGCATTATTCCACGCCCCTAGCATGAACATTGCATGACACTCGTGCTTTCGAAAGGACTCAGAGAACGCAGCTATCACAGTGACCTCTACCACCATATCCAACTATCAAACATCCAGATTGGCCATGCAGTGGAAGTTATAGCCTGATGATGGATTTGCCATGGTTGACTTTTGTGCTCGCCAATTTTCAGCAATCACGCAATTGTTTTCCAGATACGCTCCAGTGACCTCCATCCAGGTTACACACCGTAATCAGCAGCAAACAGTACCCAAAGCAACGATTGGTATAGTTCATCTAATTCTGCATATCATAGTAGAGGCTAATGCATAGGATGTATGCAGTAATATATTGGCAACATATCTGCCATTCCATAACTAGCAAACGAAGAGTTAGGCCACAGACGTGGTAAATGTAGCATTTAGTTCCTAAAATGGTAAGCATTCCCTTTGATATATTACCGAATCTACTATAAGAGGTTACTGTCTTGCCTGGAATGAATCTGAAGAACAAGCGATCACATATCAGCACAGCGCTGAAGTAGATTTTAAATTACCAGATACTCATCATGACTTTCTTAATTTCTTTCTTCATCACTATCTTACTCGCACTCAACCACCACGCAACCGCCTTCCCCGCCAAACTCCACGAACTCATCCCCGGCCCCGGCCTCCCCAGCCTCGTATCCTTGAACCTGACCACATCCGACATCGTCAATCTACCTCTGCCCATCATCATACCCACAGGTAAACCCTCTAATATAGCCCTATAACTCGCACATATATACAAAGACTGTCAAAATAACCAATCCAAGATTTTCGCTCAGGCCAAGAACCTCCCCAGAGAGGACCCCGAAAAGATCCTCAATGCGGACCCGAAGACGCATACACGAACGTCGACAGTCTTATCACTTGCTACAAGTATATACACAGACTGGGTACTGAGTTCTGCGAGTTCAGGCTGCACGAAGTGAAGACGTTGTGTCGTATTGGGGGTGTTGGTGTTGTTGGGATCGGGATTGGGAAGGAGGTTGAGAGGAGTTATTGGTGAGTTTTTTTTTGCGATCAAGTTTTCTAACGCATACCCCGCATGTAGAGATATGGAAGATGTTTTTTTTTCGGTGCGGGTGGCTGATGTGTTTTGGATGGATAGTTCAGATGTTGCGTTGGGGCTTCTTACTGTTATCGATGGCTGTACGAGACCCGACCAGAGTGCTGCGGGCTTTGCTGCTGCGAATGGAAATGGGGATATTATAGTTGGGGGGACAAGAGTGGATTATGTTATCCATATAAAGGTCATGGCAGCATGGGGTTGATTTGGTTTTGTGTACCTTGATGACGGTAGAAGATGATATGGTGGTTTTTACGCGAGCGAGATGTTTTTTGGATTGTATCTACGGTGTTTATGAGAGTTTTATGGCTTGATTGTTGTCTCATGTGATATTGTTACATTCTCAAGACACTTAAATATTTAATGGTTTTGTATTGACTGCTATTTTGGCTATCCAACGTAGAGTAGATACAGGAGATTTCTTATGATTCGAAATATTCAAATGAGGAGAAAGTTTTTGGAAAGCTTCTTTAGTACTAAAACTCAAACATCATTAGAATAGTATCAGAGATAAAAGATGATATTCCTTTGCTCAAAATAAAGAGGATTTTCAGTTTGTTACATTCTTATTTAGCGAGGAGAAAGAGATTTAAACCCTTAACTACTAGGTCTTCTTAGGCAAGTGGGACAAGAACAAAAAGCAAAAGACAATTACGCCGTCTCTCTCCCTGAAGTGTAGTACACGTTGTTGTGGAGCACTTATCACCTCCTGCTGGGCGGGTGCTCGATGCATAAAATAATTGTCTTATTCAACTCTGAAGAGTATCCAGGCATTCAGGTTGGTGCTTTATGTATCTGTTGTTATTATTGTTGTTTCCCTTTTCCATACCTTACATTCTATCCATGTTTTAGTACACTCCGGGCCTTCTCTTACCTTACTCGCTGATTACTCCACCACAATATCTCTGCCGATCCCAGACCTGCACATGACCACTTCACGTTATATTGAGATTCCCTCAAGAAGACGATCTTTTTGGACTTGCTGTACCTGCCTCTTCTTTACTAGAGAATCTATTCACTGCATAACCATTCACGCAGATATAAGTGGATATTTTTACGAAAATGCTAATTGTTATGGGTCTCTCTATGCAAAATGACGTGGCCCAAGTAAAGCGGAAGCATGATATTCGTTGAAGGTTATTTAACAATTAGGCCGATTATTCAGTTAAACAGGGTCTCAACCACCAATCGGTAATCAAGTACCGAGATCATTGCTTGATAGATACTCAATTTGGCAGTGTATGCGGGGAAGAAAAACTTCTTGTAGCAGATATATTATACCTGGTAACCAGCTTCCTATACAGTGAACCAAGAGTTTTACAAAGTCATTAGCATACTTATTTTAGGCAATGCCCTAGGGATCCTGATTAGCGAAACCACAAGATGTAGGGCTTTGGTCGCCCAATCATGTAGTGTTCCGCTGCAAATTTGTGCAGTTCATGCAAACAGTAGGTCCGACTGTGGCGGTGTTCGGATGCTTGGTGTTTTTTTCCGGCATAGTTTGTGATCCTAACAAATGACGACAAGACTCACTACTGCAAATGTCCTGCAGGCAAGGACATGCGTGCAAATGCATTGCCAACTGGTATAACCCAATATGTTGAATCATTAAAGGAAACTCCGAGCAGTGGCAATTATTGACCTAACAGGGTTGTTCGCAACAGACGAGCTGCGGAGGCATTGAAGCTTGATAGTCATGTGACTCGATAGTATCCACGTGGAAACCTTGAACGGGGTCTATAAATTCGGAGCTGTTACCAAGCCACCCTGTTCGATGGTAAAAGCGAAAGGCTTTGGTCAACAACCAAGCATTGAGGCGTGTCCCTTGTGCTAAACATGTGTCGCTCCAGAGTTCAGGGCTGATGCGGGCGGGTCGGTTAGGCCTTGGCCACTAAGATCGATCGCCTGCGTCCCGCGGCCCACACTACCTTTTACTCCACAAGGCGCAGACGTGCGTTAGCGTATAGCTAGGCAATGCAGTTCCGCCTCCATCAGGTTGTGGGGTCCTATGCCCCAATCGCGGACTATCGTACCGCATGCAAACGTAAGACACGGCGGACAAGGTTTGGATTGGCTTTCGCGATAATGGCTCATCGGATGTGTTTGGTTCCAGAGCCTTTGAGAAGAGGGCTTCCCGTCATCCCTTTCGCATAATGAAGGACATTTGGGTGTTTGAACGATTTATTTGCGAGGTCCATATTCTCATTGCATCTCACATTTCCTCAGTGCTTATGTTGGTAAAGACCCAAAGTTATACTTATAACGTCTAAGGCTCTGGTCTACTAAATTATATGCAACTGTAGTTGGAAAATACTGGAAATGAATTTTAAACTACAGATTCTGGGAATACAAGATCAAGAATCTTTCTCATGATCGTAGTGATGCGCAGCTGATGGCTATTTGCTGTCGGCTTTCTTATGGTCAAAGTAGTGATACGCAACTAGTGGTGAATCGCTGTCACCATATGCGTTTCCGCCATAGTTCAGATACCCCTCGGCGCCCTTGTAAGGAATCAACGCAATATCCTTGTAGTCACCAAACACCCAAGCGCTCTGCATGCCCATAATCATATGCGGGATAATGTGACAATGCAGCATCCAAACTCCTGGGGCCTCGACACGTATTCTCCAGGCCCTCCACGAATGCACCTCTCCAGCCACACCCTTGGGAGCGTACCGGTGCAACATAGTAGTATCACGTAGAACAGGGTTGTAGTTTGCTAGCTTCTTCTCATGCTCAACAGGGTCATATTTGCCCTTTCCGGTTCCGGCATCGTAGTAGTGCTTGCCGTGGAGATGCATAGGATGATGATCCACCCCGCTGTTGTTGTTGACTAGACTTCCTGTGTTTTCGAGGATGATCTCAAGGACCTCTCCAAGCTTGGCAGGCCAAGTAAGAGTATATGGGTCCCAGTCGTTGTTTGCGAGTGCCGCAGTGTAGTTTGGCATGGCGATCGGCCCATTCTTGTAAATATCTACCAGGTATGGGGGGCTGTTTTCCGGAGCATTTTCTGTCCAGTTAAGGCCGTCCATTTGCCAAACGATTGAGCCTTTCATGATTTGTTGATTGGTGATGTGTACGCGTCGCGTCACCTCAGATGCCTTTGGGAAGTTGTTAGGGACCAAAGGCTCTAATGCGTACTCGAGGAAGTCGTATGTGTTGTTAGAGAGAACAAGAGGATTTGTCATAGGCCGAGTAGTAATCTGATTTCCGTTGATGCTGGGGTAGCGCAGAATGCCAAATCCAGTGTAGACAGCAGGTCGGTCTTTCGTCTCAAACTGGATGTAGTAATCAGTCTTGCCTGAGGCCTCAAGCTCCGCTACCGTCTTTGCACGAAAGAGTGCGTCGAAACGCTGTCCAGTTGCTACTTGCATGTGGTCGATCGGATATGGTTTTGTGTAATGGCCATCTGCTGCAATGACTTCGAAGTCGGAATGGCCCTCGATGGCCAGTGAAACCATAGATATGACCCCCGCACCTATAAATCTAAAGCGGTAGACTTTTCCGGGCTCTACGTCAATAACTGGGAGCTGACAGTCTCCCTGGCCGACCGTTGCATTTCTTGTCACACCAACTCCGTTGATTAGTACCGCATCTACTTCACCAACCCAGACAAATGGGACTGCCGTAAGACCACGCTCCAGTACTTCATCACTCTTCTTGTAGTAGTCTTGGAAGAAGACAAATCGTTCTTCGTCGTACGGAATCGGGGGTAATCCGAAATCCTCAACGATGAGTGGTCCAGTAGCAGAGATGGCTCCCATATGCATATGTGTGTGGTAGAAATATGATCCTGCATCGTCCCATTCGGGGTGTATTTCATAATCGAAACACTTGCCAGGTGCAATTCCCCACTGGCTGACGGGGGATCCGTCACTAAATGGCGCTGTACGTTGAGTGAGACCATGCCAATGCTGAACTGTGTTAGACATAACTTTGAAGATTCGCAACAGCACTCATACCATAGTCGTGTTGTAGTCATCCATGTGGTTGCAGACTCTCACCCAGCTTGTTTTCCCAGCTGGTAGTCGTAGCACCGGTCCAGGGGATGTGCCATTCACCAACACAGACATGCGTTGCTCGCATGCTACATTTTGGAGCTCGTGTGTGACTGAAAGATAGAAATCGGGGTGAAAGCGATCGCCATGGGTGACCACGCCGGTGCCATTCGCGATAGCTGTACCATTGTCACACGGCTCCTCCTTGCCCGCGACTGAATGCGCTGTCGCCAATAATAAACCAATCGCAAGGCGAGAAAGCATCTCAAATGAATGGGTTGGGAAGTGAGAATAATGTGATCAGGATCCACCAGTTATATATATCAAGCACAATCATTATAAATAAAGAGTGCCATAGTTAGCCCTCCACATTCTGAACCCCGTTAGGTACACCTGCCCGTCGATCAGTTTGTTCCGACAGTGGCTCAACGACCCCAACGCTAGTAGCGGCAGGCCAGTGTGTGGGTGCGCCGGATACAGGCGCCCCCCAGAATCCACCGAGGCTGGGCCGACGATCCCGCCGTCTAGCGTGTAGTATCTTCACATCTCAGGTTCTTCAAAATCATGTACTTTACAGATACCTTTTCACAGATACTGAAACTACAACCCATTGTTTCAGTCATGTTGGTCCTGCCTAGAGCATGCAGTTGTTGCACAGTCGTCATATCAAAATCCTGATGTTGTTTAAGTACTGTCTAGTAAGTAAACTTTGAGTTCGGACCGAAAAAACGTCCCGACCTTTGTGCGGTCATGTCGCCACAAGCACCGGTAATTTCCCGAGAAACAGACATGGATGAATTGGGCCGTCATGTTGAGCTAGCAGCCATATGCTTGACACCCAGTGATAGAAGTGTCGCTGCCCCACAAGCTTTGATCTAAACGTTCACCCCCTTATCTTCCCAAACTTCTCTACATATACTACATTCACTCTGCCACAGCATTTACGACAGGTAATTCTTATTATCCACACACTCGTTTCTATTAAACCCCAATCCTACCGAAAGAAATGTTTAAATTAATCGTCGTTTCGTTCATGGCTATGCAAATGTCGGCATTTGCGGCGCCACAACAGCAATCCGGATCTAGCGGCGTGCAAATCACGAGCTTAGAGAAGAATGCTACATCCACCGTCGGCTCTGGAAATGTGGCGGCGGCGGGTAATCTCACCCCGTTTGGTGATATCGGCGTTGGCTGCGGTATCAACTGGAAGGCAGACACGTCTTACGGAGGTAAGCAGGTCGTCAGATTACGCAATCAACGGGAACTGACACCGCGTGTTAGGCGGACTTCAAGCTGGCTCCAGCGACTTTGGCCTGGGTAGCGGGTTCACCATGACTCCTGGATCCATTCGTATTGGTGCAGGTATTGGAATGAATACGGCGAACGCTAGTGCCAGCATACAGTTCACGGGTTCAAAGAATGGTAGCATAGAGCTCGTTTTCGAAAGCACATCTCCCGTAGTGTGCACACCCGGAACTAAGGATGGCAAGTCCATTGTATCCTGCAAGACGATCAATGCTTAATGCAAAGCTTATACAAGCGTGATGTACCATCGGTCAAGAAGGCCTTGTAAATTTTTACGGGCCTTTAGTGAAGCCGAGCAGTGCCAAATCACCGTTCATTGTTGGATTTTGGCTCTTTGTATCCGAAAACTACCTAATAAGTACATAATATTGGCTGATTATATATATTTGAACTCCTCTTCAATAGAATACTCTTCCACACTAGATCTTGCCTTCATTCATTGTTTAACATGGTCATTCTATATGGGATACCATATTTAAAACAGAACCATAATCTTGGTCGTGGGCCCCACGAAAGCTGTGGGACGACTCAAGTACTTAGTGCCTGTTTACTTCTTCGTTTTCCGTCTCCGTTTGGTTACTCTTCTAGGCTGAGAGCTCCGATAGATGGGAGATAGCTAGCCTCGATCCAGATTAAGACAGGTAACGGAGGGGCTACTCAGTTAGAGCTCTATTTTTGTCCAGATTTTAATCACGTAGTATGCTAGGCTACTAGAATAGCTAGATATTAGGCCTCCGTTTTGCCTCAACAGAGGAAAGGATAGAGCAATTTAGCAACTGACAGATCCTATTCTATGGAATTTAAGAGCGCTGATAAAGCAGAGCACCATTCCATAGCGTTGAGACATTGTTTTTCCAAGCACGATGCTATTTCCAGCCCCTTTTCTAGACGGAGCCGAGATGAGATTCAGCAGATGAAGAACGGAGACAGAGACGAACACGCCCTTACTTAAAGTTCAGCATTCTGACTTGGTGTTGTACGAAAGGAACTTCCCTAGTGAACTATATAGTATGACTACCGTATTGACGGCTTGGGCGAACAAGTCTTGGTTCGATAAAGTCATGATTTAGCTCTGCCTTGAAATAAGTTATAACACACCTATCTCGGTATCGGCGCTGATGCCGAAGAGTTCACTGGATCAGTCAGGACACTTGTCTTGTCGTAGCGGTGCACCAAAGCGATATGGGCTAGATTTTGCTATTTTTGTAGACGCCGTCGAACCGCTACTTTTAGTACCGTTTCGTGTAAACCTTAGGGAAAAAATGCAAGCCTCAAATGGTCGTTATACCGATATGGCCGCCTCTATTAACGCTGCTAACGAAGTCAAACCGTCTAACTTGTATCTCAACGATATGGGTACCATCGACAACAATGATCGCTTCCTAGACAAAACAAAGTTTGAAATAAGCTTTCTCATCTTCTGGCTTACTCCCAGAGTTTCCAGTATTACTCAGTCATACGGTTTTTACTTGACTTCTGGAGCAACTACAGAGTCGATGAGATCATCGCGGGATCTCACGGGATCACAGCCGGCCCACATGTCAGCGCTGCCACAGGCGGGTCGTTGCATAAGGCTTGCATAGTTGTCTGCGTGTGTTTTAATCAATCTGATACTGTCCAATCAGAGTTTCAATTTCTTGCCTTGCGAAGAAACAAATGAGAACTTCTTTGGTAAAGCCGGATTTCCAGCCTTCCGAGCCGTTGCTGCCAGATGTCACAGCTTTCACTAGCTGCGGAACCGATACCACAAATTCAACACGCCGTCTGTGATATGACCAAGGTAACGATGTTCAATCTTACTGAACTTCGCGTGTACTGTCATGTAAGGACTTGGTTGTAAACAAAGGCATTGCTAGTCTCGCGTAGCTTATTTGACGTTATATCTACATACCGTTCTCGACAAGCTCCTTGAGATTCCTTAGGATGGATTTTTGAGAGTTCTCTATGTTGTATTTCTCTAACATTTTCGTTTCCGTTCCGGCGTTTTCTTGGTGAATGGATAGGTCGTGACTATCGCACCATCCTCAGATCACAAAGATAGTTTAATGCTACCTTAAAGGAAACCCGGCCGAATCTTCGTTGCAAAACTCAGTTCAATATATTCTAGTTCCTAACCGGCCTTTTTCTCTTTTTTGTTCAGCCATTTGCTAAGCAGCGAAAACTTGGTGAAGTTGTATGGAGGAACACAAGGATAGTCAAACATGGAGTTATAATGCGATCGGAGAGAATACCAACATATTAGACTGAAACATCTACGGAAAGGCTTAGAAATCGACTCAATTACGGCGTGTAATGTTATTTGCCGTCGGTTCTGGAAAGGACTACTAATTTAACCCCCTGAAAAGGGTCTCGGCCGGGGTGTTCGGAAGAGTAAGATCGTGGGTCTCGGTATCATAGCACCGCTACTGATAGCTTATACTGCAAGGCAAGGATCGAACAAGTGGAGTCGAGTCAAAAAAATTCCCCTCTTCTGATGGGAGCGCAAGTTATCCCTCTGGTGCCTAATCAAATTTTGATATGACATCCAGTTATGCTTCTTAAGAAAATTTGGTCACATTGCTTCCCAACCCTTATAAATGGAATCGGTAACAGATCTTCCAACCAAAGTTTCCGAGTTGACTACAACAAGAGGTTTTGCGTCAAAGTCCGCTTTGAAAACATGGTTGGTGAATCTGTGAGCAAGCAAGCATAGTGATACATGAAAGCTTGGACGTCAATCAGCCTGTTGAGGAACTGACGTCATTTGGAAGATGAAGCTTACTCAATTTTCCAGTTTCGGAAGTCGTGGAGTATTGACGTACGTAAGCGTTAGTTGAATAAAGAGGGAAGCTGCAGATGCTCATTTTACGTACCTATCAAGCCTGCATCCATCCGCGCAATTAAATAACCAACAGATTAGGCACTCGTTTGATTTATTTCTTACAATATTTCCCTAGTAACAACAGGAGTAGACGCTGCAATCCAATAGGTGACTTGTGTTCAAAATTCTAGACCTTATTTTTGCGAACCTGGGTTTGGATGAACCTCGGTAGAGAAAGAGTCCGCAATCGAGTATACTTCAAGATGAGGAGGCGTACTAGCAAGTATATCACACAGTTAAATATAAATCCTATAAAAGAAGCCAATAACACGGTAATCTCAATCTCTGTATTCAATATCCCTCCGGCTAACAACAGCCATTATAGCCTCGCTGTTCAACATGAGTGACGTTAACAGAACCGGAGAGTAAGCATACTATGAGTGATTCTCGTCGCATGATTATCTTGCTTGTTGAACTCAAAGTCATAGAGATTATATCTGAATATTATCATTGTACAGCTCAAATGTTGAGAGCTTGTATCTAATCATCGTTTTCACGAACGGCATCGTCATCTTCTTCTCTCCCACTAATGAAAAAGGCAGAGATGATAGCAGTGAATGCACAGAGACCAGCAAGCACCGCATTCATATTCCCATATCCAATCTTTTCCCGCAGTAAACCGGCAATCAGCGGGCCTACAGTCAGCCCACCGCTCCAGACCATACTGTTGATGCCATACAGTTGCGCATATGGCGCTTGTTCAAACAAGTCTTCGTTTGCTTTGTAGTACTTCTCAACTACGTTCCCTGCTTCGACGATACTGGGGCTATTGATACTTGATAATCCCAGTCCGTTGGCTGCCAACAGGCCAGCGTAGAGCGCAATAAGGTGTGGCTTATCCAGTTCTTCGACAAGATTTGACTCGGTAGGAAGGCGAAGTAATATAAGAGTGGGTATGAGCCAGGTAAATCCAAGGAAAGCCATTGGTTTCGTACCATAGTGATCAACACACCATCCGAAAACAGGTCCAAGAAGAAAGTCGGCACCGCCGAGCGGCAGGAAGAGAAGCCCGGCTTTTAGACTATTGAAGCCAAATTGTTCGGAAGCCACTAGAGGGATTGTAGCGTCGAAGGACCCTAGTAGTAGAGCCTGCATGAAGCCAACCCAGATGGAGGCTAATAGGGCGGGGTCGCGTAGGAGCATGAGGATGGGGAAATTGCGGGTGAATCTATTTGCTGGCTTGGAAAGATGGTAGCGATCATCTATGACGGTACGGCTGGGCAAGAGGGGTGTTTCCTCGGTGTTTTCTTGAGTGCTATCCGGATCATGGACTGTTTCTGATTTTGGGCTAGAGTACTTTGCTGCAGCTTTCGTCTCTACCATGAGTACTCTGAGGATGAAGTCTATTCCGATCAATCCAAGGCCCATTCCAAAAACGCCCGTATATCCAGTTTTCGCGTAGAGTACTCCGCCAGCAATGGGTGAAAATAGCCCAGCCACAGAAATGAAACTGAACAAGGTGCCCATGGTTTTTCCCAAGTTCTCTTGTCCTACCGTCTCTATGACAATAGCGATACCAATGGTCCAGACAACGCCTCCAGAAGCACCCTGCAGAATTCTCGCAATAGCAAGGACGGCCACACTACGTCCCAGAGCGAGCAGGACAGTAGATAAAAGGAGCATTATGAGTCCTAAAAGGAACGGTAGTTGTCGAGAGTTGGAGAATTTATCAGCCAATACTCCGGCTATTGGGGATGCGGCACAAGACGCGGCTGCGTACACCGCAAGCAGATACGATATCGTACTTTGTATCTGTGAATCGGGCATATCGATACGATCTTTTAGCAGAAAAGGTAGTACGGGAACGATAAGTCCGTAGAGGAAGAGATCCACAAATGCTCCCGTGCCGACAGTGAAGACGACGAAGAATGGGTGAGATCGCCAATTGAGCCCGGGCGGCGCTGAGGAGCTTTTGAAGCCTATTAGGCTGAGCATATTCGATATGAGGTCTAGCTATGAGATATGGAGATATAAAAGGTTGAAGTAAAGTCGTAGTAAATTCTAGATGATTTCCGAGTTGTCGGTAGCCGCAGGATGTTTCCAATAAAAGTTTCCACATAAGGCCCGGATCTCCGAACGTACATACTGACGTCAACGTCCGAGCCAAGCCAATTACTATCCGAGTTCCTAGCATCCAGGGGACAAAAAAGAGGAACAAATTCGAGATATTACCATCAATCAAAAAGGAGCATTCGCCGATAAATAGAATTTGAAATTCTGTGTTTTATACGGCCAAATATCGACAAAGTGAGAGTTATCCATGGTGACTGGTGCATGAAGGGTGTTGGCATAAACATACACAAGTTCCTCCTCTCAGGCTTATAGTGGTATCTATTCACACAGTATAATGATGCGAATTGCTACAAAGCTACTCCCTCAAATAGTGTACCAATGTGATGCGGGCACGGACCAGTGCCAATTTTCTGTGGAGGCGGTGTTACTCTCACGTGACCGTATAGCCTAGCGTACTTGGCATGCATGCTGAATCTAGGGTGTGGATAGCTTCACGTCTCGTTTGGAGCAACCACGCCAAAACCGAACTTCTCTCTCACCGCAGTCGCCTCAAGATGGCGGACAAGATGGAAGGCGTACTAATGGGTGGCAGTCTTGTAGATCCTAGCAAATACCCCGTTCCCATCGAAACGTAAGTGCGATCATGCCGAAAAGGTAGGTCCCTATGATGCTAATACAGAATTATAGAATCTATGTGAGTTTAGGGCTACGACGCGCGCGTACCGGCGACTCTATCCGCGTCGCCTGAAACGGCTCGAGTGCTAACAATAATAGGTCAACAACCTCGAGGAGCGTGTCAAAATTGATACCATGAAACAAGCCTTAACCCGTGTGTTCCAATACTATGGGCCGATTCTCGACGTGATTGCGAAGAGCAGTCTGAAGCGCAAGGGACAGGCATTCATCGTGTTTGACAGCGAGAAGGCAGCGCTGGAGGCTGTGGAGGAGATGAATGGATTTGAAATGTACGGAAAGGTCATGAGAGTCCATCGGGCCAAAACACACAGCGACGAAACGGTCAAGCGGAAGGCGCCCGATATGTTCGAGGACCACAAGCGGAAGCGACTGACACTCAAGGGTACGATCCGCACCTTTTCGATACGTCAAGTGTTCTATGCTAAACTCTTACAGATTTTAAGCGTGCCGAAGAAGACGCGAAAGCGCAAGCCAATCCCGTCGCCGCCGAGAAGCCTCGCGCCGCCAAAACTGGAGCTGCCGCCGTCCCCGACGAATACGTGCGACCCAACAAGACGCTCTTTCTGCAGAACATCCCCCGCGACGTCGACGAGGACGACCTTACGACCATATTCGAGCGCTTCGAGGGCTTCAAGGAAGTGCGCCTGGTATCAGTCAGGGCTGTTGCCTTTGCCGAGTTTGAAAACGAGCAGTTTGCGATTACGGCAAAAGAGGCAACGGCGAATACCCCGATCGGCGCTGAGGGCAAGCCTATGAAAGTCACGTACCAGCGACAGCAGTAGGTTATTGCATATGGATTTATTGCTTCTGAGTTTATGCTTTTATGATACCTCGTTCAACAATGAACACCAGATGCGGGCCGACACAATAGATGTCCTGTTGTCTGAACGCTTACTATGGCAATATTATGATACAATACTTATGTCCCCTCTAGAGAAGACAAAGAAGAGCACAGTTGGATCGATATGATCTCCTGGGATGAGAAGGCTGTAACTGCATACTGGGAAGCTGAGACTTTCAAGAAGGAATACCGCCAACTGCAAGCTGAGTCGATCAAGGAAACAGAGGTCGCAACAGAGGAAGGGGTCAATCTCACAAAGGCAAGCGACGGCTGAGTGCTCAGAAAATGACGTCCTCGTTGTCCTCGTCGCCAAGCACGTCCTTGGTCTCGACAGCCTGCTGGGGCGCCTGGGTCTCCGCCTCCTGTGCTTGTTTTTTCTTTGCGACCCTTTCTGCTTCTTCCGCTGCAGCATCATTCTGCTTCTTCTTGGAGACCTTTTTCAGGCGGTAAAACTCTTCTCGATCCAGCTCATCCAGCTCGGAGTTGATGTATTTGATGGTGTTTTCGGTGCGGGGAATAATGACGTGCTCACTGGTAGTCGTCAGCTTGGGCAAATATTTTAGCATGCAGGTGGGCGACACTCACATAGCGTTGACACGGCGGTTGACAACCTTAATTACCTCATCCAATATGACGAAGGCTGTCTGCAGACTGGCCAGCTCTACTAGCGTTTCAACGGCTCTAGCATATGTCTCTCTGCACCTCTGCACTTGCTGACCACCCTTGCCCAATCCTGTCAAGGCGAAGTCGTTGTTCTGCTCGACGGTGAAGCTCTCGAATTGCGGGAGGAAAACACCAGACACATTCTCTTGCTTGGTGCGCACGCGGAAGCGCGCTTGCTTTGCAGATTCTTGGATTTGGTAGCCAATGTCACCGCCAACTGCATACGTGACTTCGGCGAGGGAGAAGGCAGCGACCTGCATGACTCTGCCCATCTTGCGCTTGGCCTCATCGATGCGGCGAGTGATTTCTAAAAAAGCGTTTCAGCTACATTGGGGGACAGTGGTGCGGACAAGTGATAGGCGTCGTCGTACCTCGGAAACGTCTAGTAATGGTCAGCAGAGCTTCGGAAACATACATAGGGCAGAGGATGAGGCGCACTTTGTCAGGGCTTCACTCTTTCGCTTCAGCAGATCATGGCCAGTCTGGGCACCCTTGAGCTTGCTTTTCATCATACCCAGCGACTGCCGGGTCGCGAAGACGGCCTCTCTCGCCTGAGGGTGGAGTTAGCCTGGGTAGCTACTATCTGGTTGCGATAGTGGACGACATACCCCACTGCCGGACATGGCTGCAGCTCGGCGCGGTAGTGTAGGATGGGGCTGAAGCTGGAGTTGGAGGGGCTGTAGAAGTGCTGACGAAGCGACGCAAATATAGACGGTGTGGTGGGATGTCTCGGGGCCACTCAGGCAGGCGCAGTCGGCGTACAGTGAATGGGACGGAGCGTGACGCAGCTATGCCGGGAAGCTACCTCAGACGAGCCCGTGCACCCGCGCCTGCCAACTCTACCAGAGTGGGCCATGCAGCTGCGCGCCCTGATTGGGCGCAGCCAAACGCTGACCGCTCGGACTCCATCGCTCTTGCCCTCAGAACTTTAACCCGGCGACACGCTTCATCAGCCCGTCGTGTCCCGAACCCCTTCACCTTCCTGCCCATCGTGGGCCTCTACACGCCCTGGCACTGGCGCAACAATGCCCGGCGAACTCCTCAGGACCGTGACCGCGAGTCTCTCGCGGCCCACCAAGCGCAAGATGGAGCCCTCGACCGACCTTTTCCTCATCACCGACCAGGACGTCGCGTACGAACAGGACATCCAGCGCAATGCCGGCAGTGTCAAGCCATGGCTCGACTACTACAGCTTCAAAAAGTCACGTGGGAGCATCCTGGAGCAGGCCTTTGTGCTCGAGCGCGCAGTCACCACGCTCCCGCGCTCCTACAAGCTGTGGAAGCTGTACCTCGAGTTGCGGACAAAGCACCTTGCCAACAAGAACCCGGCCAAGTTCGCGCCCCACTACGTCAAGGTCAACGCCCTTTTCGAGCGTGCCCTTGTCCTGCTGAACAAGATGCCGCGAATCTGGGAAATGTACCTCAATTTCCTCATGCAGCAGCCGCTCGTGACCACTACCCGCCGTACCTTCGACCGAGCATTGCGCGCCCTCCCCCTGACCCAGCACAACCGCATCTGGGCCTTGTACCGACCCTTCGCGACGTCTGCATCCGGCGAGACGGCTGTCAAGATCTGGCGCCGGTACATGCAAATCCACCCCGAAGATGCTGAGGACTTCATTGAGCTCCTCAAGGACATGCGCAAGTACACCGAGGCTGTCAAAAAGTACATGGAAATCCTCAACAATCCTCGCTTCAAAAGCAAAGAAGCAAAGGGGCCTTTCCAGTTCTGGACTGAGATGATTGATCTTATCATCGACCATGCTAAGGAAATCGATACCAGCGACGACAGTGGCATCGACGTTGAGAAAATTATCCAGAGCGGCATCACCAAGTTTCCTGATCAGCGAGGTATCCTGTGGGTCGGTCTGGCACGTTATTGGATGCATAAGGGCGAATACGAAAAAGCGCGGGACGTCTTCGAAGAGGGTGTCACTACAGTCATGACTGTGCGCGATTTTTCAGTCGTTTTTGACACATACGTGGAAGCCGAGGAAACCATGATTGGTATCAAGCTGAACGAGGCCGCCGTCCGGTCCGAGAAGGGCAAAATCGACGAGGCCGCCGACGCCGACCTTGATATCAGAATGGTTCGCTTCGAATCACTGATGCAAAGAAGACCGTTCCTACTCAACGATGTCATGTTGCGACAGAACCCGCACAACGTCATTGAGTGGGAGAAGCGCGTTGCGCTATGGGGCGACAATAAGAAAGAGGTGGTACAGACATACACCGATGCCATTGCCGCGATCAACCCCAAGAAGGCAGTTGGCAAGTTCCACGAACTCTGGACCAACTACGCCAAGATTTACGAAGCCGGTGGTGACCTTCAGAATGCGCGCGTCATTATGGAGAAGGCCGTCAAGGTGCCCTTCAAGTCCGTTTCCGAGCTGGCTGAGATGTGGTGCGAATGGGCAGAGATGGAGCTCCGCAACGAAAATTTCGACAAGGCCGTTGACATCATGGCCAAGGCTACGCAAGCACCAAAACGATCCAATGTCGACTACTTTGACGAATCGCTTTCTCCACAACAGCGTGTACACAAGAGTTGGAAACTGTGGAGTTTCTATGTTGATCTTGTCGAGAGTGTCAGTACTTTGGAAGAGACGAGAAAGATATATGAAAGGATTTTCGAGCTTCGAATTGCTACACCGCAGACAATTGTCAACTACGCCAACTTGTTGGAAGAGAACAAGTACTTTGAAGACTGTTTCAAGGTATACGAGCGTGGATTGGATCTTTTCAGCTATCCTGTCGCTTTCGAGATCTGGAATCTTTACTTGACCAAAGCCGTCGACCGAAAGATTGGCATGGAGCGACTACGGGATCTGTTTGAACAGGCTGTCGAGGACTGCCCGCCAAAGTTCGCCAAGGTACTGTATCTCATGTACGGTGCCCTCGAAGAAGACCGTGGTCTGGCCAGGCATGCCATGCGCATCTATGAACGTGCTACACGCGCCGTAGCAGATGAAGACAGGATGGAAATGTTTAATTTCTACATCACCAAGTCGGCATCCAACTTTGGTCTTACTTCTACACGACCAATTTACGAGCGCGCCATTGCCGCTCTGCCCGACGCAGAAGCCAAGGAAATGTGTCTCAAGTTTGCTGAGATGGAGCGACGTCTGGGAGAAATTGACCGAGCGCGAGCCATCTACGGTCATGCCAGTCAGTTCTGCGATCCGAGGACAAACCCCGAGTTCTGGAAGAAGTGGGAGTCTTTCGAAGTCCAACACGGAAATGAAGACACCTACAAGGAGATGCTGCGCATCAAGCGGAGTGTCCAGGCTCAGTACAAGTACGTACTACTTCTCCCAAGGATGCTGAGACGCATTGCTAACATATATACAGTACCGATGTCAATTTCATCGCTTCCCAAGCTGTTGCCCGCGGCCAGCAAAACGGTGCAGCCGCCAACGAAGACGGGACCGCAGACCCTGCCGACGAAGATGCAATGGCTGCCCTCGAACGTCAAGCTCGTGCACCCGCTGGCTTTGTCGCTGCTAGCACAGGCCCGCAGGGCGGCAACATCAAGCCTGCCGAAGAGCCAACAGCGAACCCAGACGCGATCGATCTCGACGACGATCTATGATTCACGACCGGTGGTTTGGGTTGGGTGGATTCAGGATGAAGATTTGCATTTCGACGGCGTTATATCCATGGCTACCTTGCTGCTCTAGCACATTCCTATTATCTTTGCGTGTACCGTAGGTTTGACCCAGTGTCGGTCTCCCTTGCCTCGTCCTCGCTTTTGAGGTTTCGACAGTCTGGTCTTTGCGCTTTCTTTTTCCTTTCGACTTCGATCGATACCTGGACACAAAACGTTGTTCTCTATCTTGTTCTTTTTTTTGCATATATGGCGTTTGTCGTTTGTTGAGAAATGGGGGGTTGACAAAAAAAAAGGAAAGACCGCATTCTTGCAGCCGTGCTTAAACCCCCCTAAAGGAGAGAGACACAGAGACAGACTCGTTTTCCTATGTCATGTTCGAGAAGGCACAAATTTGCCGGCTTCTCCACTTGCAGAGTTTCAAAGCTTTTTATCTTCGCTCGCCCATGTTACATATAAAACATAGTCCTCGGACACGCATACTCACTGCAAAAAAAACAAATACCTGATACTCTTCAATTGAAGGGGTAAGCTTTGCACACATTTGTTCCAGTCCAACCTCGGCATCTCGCAGTGCGGTACGTACGCGTCCAGACAGAGTCTCACCTTGAACGCAGGTTTGAAATCGGAACCTTCGGGTGACCGAGTAGCATTGTGCCACGCGTACGGCAAGTCCCGGGCATTCGAACGAGATTCATTGCGTCGGTGACTAGGCAACAGGCTTAGGTAATTACGTTTTCCCCCTACGGTAGGTACCGTAGTTTGCGAAATAAGCAGTCAGACTATTCGACGCTAAGCATCTCCACTTCAGGCAGCAACTTCACGTGGCCGTCGTCGTCACCATGACTTCCTCTTCCTCTGGGAAAATGGGATGTGCTAAGATGCTTCTTTGCGTTGAAGACGCAACAAGTATATAATTTAATTATTTGTTCTTTCTTTCAGGAAAGTAGCTACCAGTCGCCTTTGGCGTTTCGTATCTTATACTTAACATATCCACATCTACCCCAGGTGTGTACTTTCCTTTTTTGGCTTTGGCTTGTGTTCAGAGGCGATTAGGCAGATATGCGTAGGTTCGATTCGAATCATAGTAGTCAATCACTCTTATCATTCTTTCTTTTTGTTTCTGGTACTTGTGTTGATGTCCCTTTTGCTCATGAAGTTGTCATTATCCTTCGCCTCTAGAAGAAAGAGGACGGAGTAGAGAAGGTAGGGAGTTGAGACGGTCTGCTCACTCGACCCTTTTTTTCTCGTAACTTGTATAATGATTTCTTATCGTGTACGTATATGCGTTTTCTTTATAGTCTATAGGCGTTTTGCGACCACGCATATTCTTCTTGTGACATAATGATTGCTTCGGAGAGAGTGGAGAAAATTTCCAATCAACTCGATAAATACTACCAAATTCAATCACTCATGAGACAGATTTGTTTAATACTCCTTTTCTTAGCCTTCGTCAAGAAAATTCTACTCAATCACGGACGGCCAATACTACATAGTTTGAATATAGTAAGGTCTTAAGACGAGCAGAGAAGAATAGAAACAGAATTGATCTACACACATGATAAAATACCAACACATAAATAGCATCGTTCCCGACTATCTTCATTGATACCTTGCAATTGCTTGTATGATAAAGGTTATATACCTAGGATCCCTTCGCAACAACCCCCGAAGGCTATAAGTAAACCACACTCCACCATGCGAATCGGCTAAACGCCGGTTAACAAGAGTCATTGGTCTACAAATATGTCTCAATACCGCGCGCGTTATACAATACTATTGGCTTTTGGGTGTCCGAGATAGAGAGCGAGCTTGGACAACCGCCATCATGCTTCCTATCTCGCACATTACCGACAACCAGGTTTGCTCCATCTGCGGGTCCATTATTTTACTTTTGCGTTTCTACTTCCCGTCGTGTATCGCGCCTGCATGTGCTTGACCCGACATACTTACATAGAAAACTGTGGTCGATGCTAGGTATAGTAAGCCACTACCGCATGCATGTCGATCTCCCAACTCTCCTCCTCACACTCCGAACCGCACAGCCAAGTTTCGGCCGAGGAGCTGCGTTGTGCGCTGTTGCGCGAGGAGAAAGAAGAGAAAGAGCCGGGCAGCACGAACACCGAGCGACGTGTCATGAGCCGTAGGGCTAGGACAGGGAGCGGAGGCATGTAGAAATCCTTGTGCAACTCACACCGTACTCATTTTACTTCTCCAAGGCTGAGCTAATGCCACGGCAGTTGTATCAATGGAAGGAAGAAAAAGTGTGGAGGTCCAGCGACGAGTCAGCAACAGGTTACTACTAAGTCTGGTTAAAGTCACTCGTCATACAGACATGCGCATTGATCTGAGATCGACATGAGGTGTAATGGAAGGAAGCTTGGCGCCCTGTTTCGGGTTGCACGTAGGGCTGATAAATGGGGGGATACGAAGATGATCAAACTCCCGGTAAGGGGGGAAGGGGAATGTGACAGCCACTGCAGGGCTGATGGCTAGCGCTTCCGGAACGTCAACCTTGAGATTCGAGTTGGCTCAGATTGCTGTCAGCAAGTTTCTCAATATGCAATCAAAAATGGTTGAACAGCAGAACGACATGTCGCTGGTGACATCGAATATATGTATGTATGTAGGTTGTCGAGGCCAAGAGATGCCACGAGCCTTAGTTGGCATGGCCGCACCGCATCTGTTACAGGCGTGTTACAGAAGGAAGAAGTCACAAGAGCAACGAAGACAGGCTTTGAACTGGCGATGCAACCTGATCACTGTCACTCAACAACATGATCTCTCTAAGGGTCTTTTTTGCTCTAAGCGGCGCATGTGCCGCTGCTACTACGTCGCACATCCATGGGCCATCATCACCACAATGTGCCAACCTACCGCCACACTTTGCAGCACAGATGCAGGCCCCACTCCGGTCCCAGCAATGTCTACATGGAGATACCGACGCCAAACCGCCACCTGTCATACCGTCATTTCACCACCCGATATGGTCTCACGAGCCGATATGCGTCACAGGGAAAGAGAAGGTTTACTGCACACACACAACTGCAGACTCGGGGAGCGGCCATGGTCTGAGCATCATTGCGACACCATCTGCTGCGGGAAAATTATCAGCGAAGTTTAGCAAGCAGAAGAAGAGAGTCAAGCATTCCGAAGATGGCCTCCAAGTACGCTCGATTCCGGGCAAAGGCAAAGGTCTTTTCACAACAAAACTTATCAAGAAGGGGGAGACGATACTGCTTGATCCAGCACGCATAATCGCAAGTTCCCACTTTCCAGCACGTGTATCGCACGCCCAAGGCCGGAGTTTATTCAACTCCGCGCTCGACCGACTTCCCGGACAAGATCACAAGATGGTCGCGGCATTAGATCAGAGTCTGGGTGGTAGTCCAATCGAGGACGTTATGAAGACCAACTCTTTTGCCTGTCGGCTAGACGATGGCAACGTAGACAAAGCCTACATTTGTCTCTTCCCCTCCGTCTCCCGCATCAACCACGCTTGCCAGCCGAATGCCCTCGCACGCTTCGTTTCAAAGACACTATCGATGCAAATCAAGGCGAAGCGAGACATTGCCGCAGGAGAAGAAATAACCATTTCGTACGGAAGAGTAGACTTGACGCGTGACGAACGACAGGAGCTGTACAAGGATGGATGGAACTTTGAGTGTACATGCTCGCTCTGTACGGCGCCGCACGGCGAAACCAAGGCAAGCGACGATCGCCGCGTAAGATTTGCTAGGCTCAAGCAGAAGCTTCAAAATCTGACAGCGGAGACTTACGACGCGAAACAAGTGGTGGAGTGGGAGAAGGAAGTTATGGCGATTGCGCAGTCCGAAGGCTTGGAAGTGTTGTTGGCCGAGGATTACGAGAGACTGGCATATGTGTATGCAGGCCATGGAATGGCCAACGAGGCACGGCGTTGGGCGGAAAGGGCCAAGCAGAACTTGCTCGATTGGGCGGTTGAGGACAGTCGTAGAGATGACGATGTCAGGAGATTGGATGAAACGCTCGCAGAGTTGGGTTGAAGTTTCATGGCTGAACTACTACTTTGGTGCCTGGCCATTGCTTCGACTACCCTAATGAGGTCCTATCCACTTTGGTAAGTAAGGCTGCCTCGGATTGTCACCCGCATTTTGTAAAGTTTGAGCCCATAATCTGATGTCTGCAGCATGGGTTTCATCTGTAGTTATGCCGTAATAGGGCGCTAATGGTCTTCGGAAGATGGCATGCGCTTCCGGCTGTTGGTAAGGATGGGAATGGGGAATGATCGAGTCAGCCCGACGAATGCGTCCACGGCAGATGGGCACTGCAAATCTGTCTCTCTTAAAAGCGTTAGGACAATGCTGTTCGCTTTCAAATCAGTTTCCTCGGGCACCAGCTGATGGTGCCAGTCTGCCAAGTGAGCAGGTACGCGTTCGCGCATGGGTCGAAGAAGGCTTAGAGCGTTTTCCTTAAACAGGATGAGGGCCCTGCGTGGGATCTCGGAAAAGGAGGTCAGAGCATCTGTTGTAACTAGGTAACCACGTCTAGAAACGATTAGAATGCGACAAAAAAGTAGCAAGGCCAAATCTCCACGTAGATCGGTGACGTATAGGAGCTCCCGGCTAGGTCAGATCCTGATCAGGGGTTCCCGGCTCTTCAATTCCCGGGTACAGGCGAGTTGAGATCTCACTGATGATCTTCATAAGCAGAGGAAAACACACCAGAGAAACGAGGCTGGGAAGCCATAGCCGCAGGGCTATTACAGATGCGGTGAGAGTGAGATTGTCCTCAAAAACGGGTTGAAGCAGCTGTAATGAGCTTGGCTAGTAGCTAACTTGGAGTGTGCTGAACTAGTAGCAAGCCATGCGGCTGGCCGTTGTCTCTAGCCAACGAACAAAAAAATGACAGGACGGTTGGCGGTACCGTTTACAACGGCGATGAGTCGCATCGCAGAATTCAGAAAATAGAGATGTCAAAGGAGCGTATGCGCGGATACAGAAGGGAGCTGCAAAGGACCGTCTCTGCGCACGTATGGCTGATGCCCAGTCTGGGTCTTGACCTATCATCTGCTCTTCACCTTACCATCATTGTCCCTGCATGTCAAACTTTCCCCTTGACCCCCTAGGCGCATTGCTCTCTTGGTCACCCATTCGCCGCGTGGTTCTCACTCGTCTTGACGACCTTCTCTTTGTGGCCAGGGCCAAGCGAAAAAAAAGTGATTTCAAACACCACGTCAAAGCAAGTCAAAACATGAGGGGAGGAAACTCGCGCTCGTGCTCTGCAGCGTAAAATGAGCCACACAGTGGCGCCCGGACGACCCGTTGCCTTTGCTTTTTCGCTCCTTTGGCTGCTAAGGTCTTCTGGACTCGAGGCGCGGGCAGCCGGTTCGCTGCGTTACCCCAGCCGAGTCATACCTACTTACGCTTGCGGAACCACAGCGAAGAGGTTTTGCCCACCTTGTTTCACGGCGCGACTGGGTGTACCCTGCTATTTTGGTCAGCTCAGCCTGCGCACGTAGGTAGAGTTGACAGGGCTCCGCCGCATGATACTGCAGAGTAGGGATCACACACTAAAAATGGCCCTGCAATCCTGTCCGTCCCACAACCATATGTATATGCGGTGGTTAAACACCTAACTGTCTGTATATCTCCGTAGTCTCTCAACATCACCAGTTCGCTCTTTTACTTTTTGGCTGCTAGCCGTGACCTTCTTTCCCCTTGGTCTCTTTGCTTTAATAGTCTCTCCTTTACTTTCTTTTTTTCGTTTAGTCTTTGTCTAATATGGTCGGGTGCCGATCTCTTCTAACGGTCCTTGTGACTTTGGCGGCCGTTGTAAAAAGCCAGCAATGCTATGGCGTCGACGGATCACTGCTCGATAAATCATACACACCATGCAACCCCAGCGCAAAGAATAGTGGTTGCTGCGCGAGCGGCGACATTTGTCTGAGCAATGGACTGTGCATGGGAACTCAAGGAGCCTCGATTGGCGTCATCTTTTCAAGAGGCTGCACAGATTCCACTGGAAAGGATGTAGCATGCCCACAGCAATGCTCGGGTGGTATGTCTCTACGAAAAAAAAACCATATTTAACATTACGAACAATTCTAAAAAGTTGACAGGTCCCAGCAACTCAAACAGCGCATCCACAGTCACTGCATGGCAACTCCAAACCTGCGACTCTGGCGAATATTGCTGCCGCGCAGCCAACTCCACCAAAAGCTGCTGCAACAACCCCACAGCACCCCGAGTCAAATCACCTCTCAGCGCCACCCTCCAGATACCAGCCCCAGCCTCAACACCAGCAACCAACAGCCCCGACCAAGAACCTGCATCTTCCAGCCCTATATCCATACCATCAGCCACTTCCAACTGCCATAAAGAAAAGACCCACACAGCCATTGTCGGCGCCATCCTCGGAGGCCTGCTTGGCGGCATCATACTCGGCCTTGTCATTACCGTGCGATGGATGTACAAGCGCGAGCGCCGCCAACGCCGCCTCAAAGAACACTACGAGACGCAAATGTCAAAGACGAATGCCTACCGCAAGGCGCTCGAGGAGACCGTCAGCTCAGCGAGACCCAGTCTCTCTCTCTCACACAAGTCGTGTCAAAGTCTTAGTAATGCAACAGACTAGATTGGATGACGACGACGATAGCCCAGCGATGGATGGGCTTGTTACTACTATCACATATGTACAACTCGACTTTTTCCTTTGTTTTTTTTACAACTTTCTTTAATTGTTGTTATTACAAAAACCCCTTCGGTCTCTCTTTTTCAATCTCTTTTCAGTTTTCTTTTTTGTTCTTTTCTCATATTAGCGTCGGTGTTTTTCCTGGTTAGGGTGGCTTGGGCTAGAAGGCTTGGGTATGACATGGCATGGATGAAAGCAAACGACTGGGCAGACAGTACGTGGTGTGTGTGTGGTGGTATTTGGTCTCGGTCCGGCATCGGCTCGGGATAGTAATCCCGACTATTCCCTCCACCCCTCCCTGTGTTTTTTTCCACATTCATTTATTCCCCTTTTGTTTACTTCTAGATTCGCTTCATCAGCGAGATTTTGTTCGATATCCCCCCTTTTGGTTTCGTTTCTTGGTCTGTTGAAACAAACAGAGTCCCCAACCCTTATGTTTCCTTGATGTATCTCATGTGGTTTTGCCTTCTTTTTTTTGTAGATTCAAGACTGCTTCACAGCAACTTCCCATATTACACATTGCAGAAATGTTATTTGAACCCAACAAACGAAAAATCAAAGTATTCATCAATCACAAAAAATTATCACTGTCATGTCAGAATGCAACTGTGATTTGTAGTAGCGTTACTGCTGTAGAAACAAGGTAAGCAGACAGTAAATTAATCGTAATCATCGTCCAAAAAAGAAGCTAGCTTGGGGTCAGGAATCTTCCGTACATTTCCGTAAGCAAAGGGCAGTTGTAGGCCCCTCTGACCTTGCAGCATCTTACATACATACACCGAGTAGTCTACTTACATGGCGAACACTCGTCATGTAATATGTACCTCGTGAGCAAAATATAAGATTAAGATCATATGACAGCACTAAAGCTAATGAGGACTGTCTTTTGGTGCTGGTGTTGGTTTGGTGCGAACCGTCGGGTTGGCACGCTGTGAACACGGTGCCATTTTCACTAAGACAAGGATAATAACAAGCTGACGCTCCTCAAATGATACTGCGATCGAAGGGAGAGAAGACCCCTTTTGGGTAGCTATTCGCGAGCTTCAATGATCGCGATCTAGCGTACTTGGCAGGCTATTAAACGTGTTCAGAACAAAGGCAGTAGTGACAAGATGCAAAAGATTTTACAAACAATGTTTCATTTACAATCCTTATACGTAACAAAGTAAATCCTCCTTAAAGTACATTCTAACCCAATCATGACGTCATGGCAATTGCTACCTGGAACCTCGTGCATAACAAGTAGCTCCTCTTTGAAGTAGATCTCAACCCAGCAGTGACCTCGTACCAGTTGCTATTTGGATCCTTAAATATCCAATCCTTGAGCACGGCATCTGTCGGTGATGCCTTCGCCAGTAGGCGCGTCAACATTGCATGTAAGTATGTTGAAAACGCAAGGAGCTTTCGGGTCGGCCGGTAAACCTTTCTCAAATGGGTTGGTCAACTGCTGCTTGTCGTTCGCATCGAAGCAGTCAGTTGGACCCTTGAGTATTTCCTCCTTGGTGAAGCCGTATTTTGACGTCAAAGTGTCGCAGATATCACTCTTGTCCAGTGCATTTCCATCTCCATCCGATTGTGTCAAGAGGCGTACAGTGAAAGTACCATCTCCGTTATCTGAGCACAACTTGCTGGAGTCTTCTTGGCAGCTCTCAACATTTCCGTTGCGAAATACGAAAATCTTCTGTGCTTGTAGGGCGAGGCCAATTGCGTGGCGGGTGATTGATTCACTAACGATGTCTTGGAGATCGCTTTGTGTGAAGTTTTCGCTCACACCTAAGAATGCACCTCCTTTAATGAGTTCACCTACACATGTGAGTGACTATGTTGCATACAAATTGACACACGAGAACTTACTGATTCCGTCCGTCGGATCGTCAATCACTGCGTTGAGCGATTTGTCCAAGGAATCCGAAATGAAGCGCTGGAAATCGCTCAGGACATCGCTCATTGTTTGTCCAAGATTGCTCCACGCCAGAAACCTATCTGGTGGAGTAGGTGGTGTAGCACGCCTCAAAACAACTCCCAGACCCCCGTTAAGAGCGGTTGCACCTGTGGCAACAGCACCAGTGAATGGAATTACGCCCAGGATGCTGCTGAACATGAGTCCAATGTTCTTCAAGGGCGTGATGTCATCTTTAGGATCCGGATATACATCTTGGACAATCGATCCTAATCTCAAAGAGATGATTGATGAGGCGAAACTAACGGCGGTATTGAGGCTGTTCATGTAATTGTTGTAGTTCTGAATAGCCAGCGCAGCATACCTGCAAATCACTAGTCAATAACGCATCCTGCATGACTTTCATAAATTCCCCCAACGGAAAACATACCAAGCAGGCGGTTGAATGGGCAAGCATGGCTGACCAGCATTGCAGAATTTGTCGAGACCACAGAAGAAATTAGGAGCACCGAAGGAAGCGGCTAGAGATTGAACATTGTTGCTCGTTGTCCGGGTGTAATTTTTCGCAGCCTCCGCGAGGAAATCGTCGATTTTCAGGTCGGTCCATGTCTTGGGCTCCAATGGATCAACGCGACATGAATCCGCGCCATTTCCCGTGCCTTGCGGTAAAGCCATTGGAGAAGCCAAGGCTACGCTGGCGAGGTACGCCAGGATAGTACTCTGTAGATGCATGGTTTAAGTGAAAATACCTGAAGTCTGAATTTGTACAATAGAATTGTAAAGGAATGTACTTGGTTATCTCAATGAGTGGATGGTGCTCGATGGCGTGGTGCTATTTCTCCTGGGTATCTTCTAGAGTATATATACAACATTTGATCACCATGCCTCAGAAATATGTAAAGACTTGTTACTATTAGCTGATGACGCATGTTGTCCAAGTCGAAGGTGGGGACACCTGAAACTGCGGAACAGCTATGCTCCCTAAGAAGGACCGAAAGCGTTGTAGCAGGTATACGAGACGAGAACATGGAAGCTACTATTTTTACACCGCATTAATTTCAAAGCCTATTTTTCAAGTCTTTATGGTCCGAATTTCGTATCTCGAGACCCATTCCTGGTAACTGGTTATGGTAATGAAACAGCGACGTAGTGGCGTGAACGATTGGCACTCTCATGCGCAAGCCTTTGCAAGGTAACTTGGCCGAAATATAAGGATGCACAGGCCTGGAGTTCCTCTAGAGTATCGTAATTGGCTCGAGTTTCCCGTCCGGGGAAAAGTAGAGCTTCATAGTTTCTACGCATGTAAGCACTCGGGATCTAGACTAGATACCCGAATGTAGCTACGGGCATAGCTACGGGCATTGAAGAGCATGACATCAATTCATGTCACCATAGAACACATGTCTATTTTAGGCGTATTACAACTAACATGTTTTACTAGTATGTTGGCCACTCTATCGTACTCGCTATGTTGACCGTTCTTGGAAGGCTCTCGGTCGACCGGTGAAATCAGAAAATCCAGAGCTACCTTTACTACGAAATATCAGCACCACAACAGTATTATTTTAAACAAAAACGTCAGAGAATATATACGGTAAGACTATATTTATGTTACTAAAGTGTATATTAAGTGAAATATAACTAGTAGTATTGTAGCAGCAATTAAGGCTTCAAGCGGGCTTTAATGTAGACTTTCAGTGCTTGGCAATCTTATCTACGACTTCATCGGTCGACTGAGAGTAAGGAACACTTTTTGTTTTTACCACAATGCCTCTTCAGGGAATGAACGAAGGATTGACTTCTACGCCAAGCAATACAGTATCACACCACCCACGCATGCACGTTGTGCCTTCAACGCTCCACCTCTCCCAACTTACCCATGAGCAACGCATCCACTCTCTCTCCCTTAGTCAGACTTCCCTCCCCCTTTGGCATACACAACAAAGCGTTTGCGCCCTTGAAGCTGCCAATGCGACTGCTCCTCTGGCCTCCTGTGGAACTCGCATACAAAAGTCCATCTTCCTTGGTCACCACCAGTGCACGATGATACTCAGGCCTTCCTTTATCCATCTTAATGTCCTCTTCCAGCACTACTTTGACGCGCGGTAATCCCGCAGGCTTGATGCCCGCCTGCTGGTGCAGCGCTGGCAGAACGAAAAGATGGAAACAGACGACTGCTGAAGCTGGATTACCAGGCAAAGAAAAGATAGCTTTGTTGACGGGGTTGCCGGCGTTATCTTTTACAGGGACCGTCGCAAAGGTGGTTGGTTTACCGGGCTTCATGTTTACACGGCCAAAGTGGATGGTACCGCCGAGGGTACGCTCAATGGTAGGCTTGAGCAGGTCGAGTTCACCCATGGAGACGCCGCCCGAGGTAATGATTACGTCGCATCTGCGCATCGCATCACGAAGAGTCTGCTCCAGGGTACCTGGTCTAATAAAGAAAACCCTGTTAGCTTTAATGAAGCATAGATCGGATGTTGGGGGAGAGTGAAATTATGTGAGAAACGTACTTGTCAGAGACAATGCCAAGATCGATGACCTCAAATCTGTGACTACGGGCGGCAGTAATCAGTGTAGGGCGGTTCGTATCACGGACTTCTCCTAGTCGGAGTGGGCCTTCCCTATCGTGTGGGATGATTTCATCTCCCGTGCTTAGAACACCAACGACTGGCCTTCTGTACACTGATACTTCCCGTGTACCAACAGAGGCAAGGAGTCCAAATTCCCCACCTACAACTGTGACGCCCTCTCCTTTTTTCATAATAGTCTCGCCCTCTTTTACATCGCTACCCACCTCACGTACATTTTCACCAACCTTAATCTCATCCGTAAGAATCTCAATTTCCTTTTCCTCTTGACCGTCATCCGTCAGAGTCTTGAGTGCGGTATCTTCCACCATGATGACAGCATCGGCACCAGGTGGAAGTGGCGCGCCCGTAGTGATTCTAGCAATCTCTCCCTCTCTGAGTTCTTGAACCTCACCAGGTTGGGCGTGTGAGATGATCGAGACTGGGTATACGCCCTTCTCGAACTTGCCTGAAGACGGAATCTTAATAGCGTAACCATCGACGATGCTGGCTCGGAAAGCCGGAACAGATTCAGTCGCCTTGACATCCTCGGAAAGAACAGAGCCGCCTATCTTCATGTTTACAGGGACTTTCTCTACAATAGGAGCCGGTGTCTTCTCTGCAATGAGTTTCAGGGCCTCGTCGACAGCTAGCATGGGATATGGCGAGGACCGGTATCTTTTTGTTGGTCCTGCTGAAGGATCGTTTGACTGCGGACGCTCTTCTGGCTTTGTATGAGCTTTTGGCCCCACATGACTGCCATGTCCGTGATGATGATGATGATGATGTCCACATCCACCTCCGGTTCCTATAACAGTCCATTATTACTGGCACGACATCTTGAAAGTCGGGAACGAAATTCGACATACCAGCAGTAGGATCACTCCGTGATGAGACACCTGCATCTTTCTCAAGTTTCTTCACACCACCAGCGTGGAGCGGTCGTGACTCTGCACCGGCTGCTTGAAGGCATGCATGTGGTAGCAGCTTGAGCACCGCTTCTAAGTTCTCTTTGGCGCCTTTTGGCGATCCAGGCAAGGTCAGAATCAAAGTTTGTTTTCGGACTCCAGCAACAGGCCGTGCCATCAAGGCAACTATGAATCATTAGCATAAATCTTGATCAGAATATGACATTACGGACAAGGTGTGACCGCATACGAGGTCGTAAGCATGCCATGGCTAGAAAAGGTGTTAGTCAATAGCCAAACTCTCCTCAAACAAGTCTACGCACATAAGACCTGGAGCATGTCTATCAATCAATGGGGTAACTGCCTTTGACTGATCAGTTCTTCGACTTTAAGACGATTCACAATGATGCACATACCTCCGGAGTGACATCTTTCGTGGCAAACCCAGTCCCCCCACTGGTAACAACCAAGTTCACAGGCTCTGGCCCATCAGTCCAAGTCTTGATAGCCTTCTGGATTGCAAGAGCATTGTCAGGTACGATTTCGGTCTCGCTAACGTCCCATTGGTTGTTCCCGAGATCGCCGAAGACTTGGTTCAAAGTCGGTATGCATTTATCGGTTGTAGGATCTTGCGAGACCGTCTCGGAGACGACCAAAATCGCTGCTCTCAACTTGGAATTCGTAGTGGCCATTTTACGAAGTGGTAATGTCGAGTTCAAATGAAGTGGAGCTGGTGTGACATCCCACGTTCCCTAACCCAGTGCACGGACCACCAACCGTATGTCGAAGGATTACTCAGACGTCAGCTTCACGTTTGCAGGAGTGTTTGGACATATTCTCTTTAAAAAAAAACTGGTATTTAACGCCGGTGATTGCTCATAGTACACATGCATTATACAAGCGCCCTCCCCATGTACATCGTACAAACTTCTACAACAGTAACTTCCTGTAACGTCCAAGCCAGCTTCCTGTGCTGATATATGGAGCACTTGTTTGCTCGTTGCCTTCAAGCATGATCAAAGATCGACCTGGTGGGTTTTTCTGAAATTTGGTGCAAGCCAATAAAGTCCCTGTAAGCTCACTCAAAGTCCTTTGCGTTGCTTTGCATCAACAATCCAATGATAAGCCCAAACAGTCCGAGAATAGCGGCAAAGATTTCGATGGTGAGAATCTTCACGAACCTAATAGAAAGTTAGCGAGCAGCTGGAGCTTGCGGATGTGGGTGACTTGCAGTGCAGGGTCGGCAGCATCAGCCAGAGCAGCGCTGCTTCCGTTGATGCCAACGCAGACACCGCAGATCAGGTTGCACATGCCGACGGTAAGTCCGGCCCAGAAGAGGGCATACCCGGTGAAGTAGTTTGATCCAGAGTAGAGCAGCTCAGGGTCGGTAAGCTGAGTCATCTTGGAAGAGAAGATGATGGCCATGATGACGCCGTAGATGGCAACGACTTCACAGAAGATGATAGAGATCAAGTTCTTGGTTCGTATCCGGGGTGCCTTGACACCTCCACCGACGATGGACACACCAGTTGTCCAGATTCCCCTTTGCGACTGTCAGATGCGAATTGTATGTGGATGTGTTTGCTGCGCGGAGACGTACCATGCGGATCCTACTACGGAGAGGCCGATGCACAGCGCGATTCCAAGACTAGCCCAGGTATACGGTGATACGGTTTCGAGGAAAGCGCCGACCTGGTGCGCAGTTAGTCATGCATGTATATAACAGTAGTGCAGCGCGTTCTCACGTTGAAAGCCTCTCCTTCGCCGTGGAAGAGCATGTCTGGTTGCAGTTAGCTATGCCGTTGCTATCGCCCCTACGCGCTGTACGTACACAAGGCAACCACACCGAGGGCGGCTGTGGCGCCGCCCGTTCCGTACGTGAGAGACATGTTGGATGTAAAGTGGTCGTAGAGGCGGAGATGGATGGTGGAGGGGGCTGCTTGGAGCTTCGTCGTGATGGACGGGCTCTGAAGCTGGCGATGATGCAGGCGGAACAAGCCGCGGCGCGCTAGCTCCACCGGCTTAGTAACCTCCGCTCCGCGTTCCCCAACCCTCCTCGCACCCAAACGTCACCATCCCTAGAACACACCAGTCCGTCGCAAACACCAGCACCATGGCCACCGACAACACAAAATACTATGAGCTCTACCGCCGAAGCAGGTACGGCTTGCGACCACAGAGACGCTATGTTGACCGCATTAGCTAACACGCTGCAGCCTGGGCGGCTCTCTTACAGACACGCTGGACCACCTCATTACCGAGCGCCGAATAGAGCCCCAGCTCGCCATGAAGATTCTCGCCAACTTTGACCGGGCCGTGGCCGATGTGCTTTCCGAGAAGGTCAAGGCACGGTTGACATTCAAGGTCGGTTGCGCCTGGACATGGAGTCTCGCCTCGTTATACTGACTTGGGTCGCCTTAGGGACATCTTGACACATACCGCTTCTGCGATGACGTCTGGACCTTCATTATCAAGGATATTAACTTCAAGCTCGATAATACCCACCAGATCCACGCCGACCGCGTTAAGATCGTCAGTTGCAATGCGAAACGTCCTGGTGAAGCATAGAGAGCCCCATCCGCACGTTGATAGAGTCAAGGATACTCAGAGATATACCAGAGTGTTACAAAAATGGCTGCAGTTGAAAATATATGGGACTCTGGGGATGCGGCGTCACCCAAACTCCAAGTGTCTGCTCATAGGGTGGATCCTCTGGCACATTTTTAATCGGAGTTATGATTTGGATGGGGAAAAACCACGATACCTCTGGCATAATGGGAGTCTGGCGTTTGGCATTTGCAATTGGCGTCTGGACCGACGCCCTCAGAATGAAATAAGCATGAAGCATGCGCATATCGTATACCGTCCCTCACTTTCCTGTCTTGAATGCATCATGACCCAGTGTGACTTTGCTATGAGATAACCTGTGCTCAATCATTCTCTCATCATTGCAGATGCGCGTCCCTTTGTGTGTGTGTGGGTGTGCACAAGCTTCATGGCTAGAATCATGTAATGCTAACAACTGCGCGCAGCTACCCCATGTCTTCCAACTAGGCTCGGTACGTAGCGCATCCGTACCTTGCAGATCGCCAACCCTATCTTGATACCAATTAACCCTGCTGTCAACCTCAACATTGCCTTGAGCCTCACCCTCACTCCCACAATAGCAAAAAGAGGGGCGACCATGTCTGTTCCGAAAACGAGATCAGCATGGCTGGCACTTGCCATCTCCAGTGGTGCATGCGCAGCCTTCAACGGCGTGTTTGCGAAGCTGTACAACACCCCCCGCGTCGCCGTTATCTACATTACATACTAACCACGCTGCAGTACAACAACAACCCTCACAGCTTCATGGTCGAGCTCTGTAGCCGTAACTTTCGGTCTCAGTGCTTCCAACAAAGTCGTCGAGTATGCGATTCGAGGGGTCCGTCTCTACCCGCGTCTACGTCTCAGATGAATCCATCTCAACTGTCTAACGCCACGAACAGCTCTTCTTCGGCATGAACCTACTCTTCAACGCCATAATGTGGGGTCTCTTCACACGGGCTCTTACTCTCGCCTCCTCGACCGTACGGGTCAGCATAATCAACACGTCTGCAAATTTCATCGTCACCGCTATCCTTAGTTTCATCATCTTTAGCGAGAGTCTCCCCGCATTGTGGTGGCTCGGTGCAGCAATGCTCGTAGCTGGGAGCGTAATTATTGGTATGAGAGAAGAGACGGAAAAACAAGGCGTCATGGCTACAACGGGTGAAGCTCCGCTCCTTGATCGTGATGGCGATGCAAATACCGAGGAATTCAGAGACGATGATGAAGACCAGGACCGTGTAGAACTGAACAGTGTTAATAATGAAGAGGAGGAGAGCAGTGATGAAGATGGTGTGTTAAAATAGATAGGTAGGCATATCACTATCCCAATACATAAGCATCATTCGGGGTCTTTTTATTGGAGCTTGGTGATTTCAACGGTACGACTCCTCCCACAATCCATGAGAAGCTGCAGTCCGTCAGCTAGATCATTCCTTTATAAGCTTGCACTCCTTTCCTTAAAGTCAGAACAGACCGTTCTGGTACCTACGTGCCTTCTACACAACAGTTACACACTGCCTTTCTGCAAGACTAAGATACAGCGATCAGCCCCCTACATATCACTCCTGTACTTCTCTTTCTGCGAGACCAGCGTACGTAGCCAATCCGTTAGCCTTAAAAGCAGAAAATGGCGCACGATAGCCCATCCAATGCGCTCAATCCTGATGCCCCCGCGTTCTCCCCAAGCTCTAGTCCCTCGCAGCAGGCCTCTAATCAACACCAATGGAACTTTCGAGTGCTCCAGATCCCGTACATACATGAAGGTACCTCGTACTTTACCTACCCACCGCTGATACTGTTGCCACCACCATCTCTGCAACAGCCATCTCAACCACTGCCACCACAACCTCTACCACCGCAGCCACCATCACAATTGCCATCGCAGCCACTACCATTACAAGCCTATGATGGTCACAATAGTAGCAGTAGCAGCAGCAGCAGCAGCAACCACAGCAACGGCAACGGTAACGGTTATAGCAGCAACAGCTACAATAGTCCCTACCAAACCGGCCCCACCACTCCCCATAACAACCTTTACGCCCATTTCACCAATGCCAACACTGCTATCCCCTTTCCCTATGCTCAAACCACGGCCCTCTCCTCCAATGGCTACCACCACTTCCACTTCCACAACAACTACAACTACACGAACAGCCACTACAGCAACAATTTCCCCTCGTCTAACCTGTATCCCACCGACTACTCAAACCTCGGCCTCTTCTCCGCCTTCAGCAGTCAAATGAACCAAGTCGAGGGCATCCAAAACAGCTTTCACGGCCAACGCAGTGCCACCAATGGACATGGCGGCGTCTGGCAGCAGCAACCGACGAAGGACAGGGGGAAAAAGAGCAAGAGGAACAAGAGGAAGAAGCATGGAAAGTGCAAGGGTAAGAAGAAGGGTGATGCTAATGGTGATGAGCTTGGCAGTGACCAGATCAATGGGGATGGCGCCGGTGGAGATGATGTCAATGGAGATGAGGCAAACGGGGGTGGGAGCAATGGCGGCGAGGCCAATGGTGACGGTACTCGTGACGGTGATACGCCTAGCGAAAACGAATGGAAATTTGAGGAAGAAGAGACCTAACCGATTATCCCACGGTTTTGCTGGCCAAGGCGGTGATCTTCATCTCGGCTCCTCGCAGTCACCTCATTACCACCACTCTCATCCGACTCTAACCCTTCCAGGACTGATCGTAATATGCAGCTAAAACTGCAATCAGCTTGCGTGTCATTCTTCTGGGCTGGTGGTGCATGTCCAAAATACAAAAAAAAGATTTTGTTTCCATTGTTGCTTCCTGTTTTTCTCTCCTATGCCATTTTGCACGAATTGTTACATCACAGAGAGGGTGGGGCAAAGACCTTCTCTATCAGATGATCTAATGTATTTTTCTTTGTTTGCTTTTTGCTTCATTCGCGCCTACTAGCTATACATTCGAACTTACCAGCTACTGCTACAGCACCTAACATGTCTCTCTTGTCTACACTTAATGTAGGCGTCGCAATGCCTCAATTAATCCTTTTACTTCTTCCAGCTCCACTCCCAACCCATCAATCGCCTTGCTCTGCACTTCCTCACTTACATCCAGGAACCGCTCAATAAGCTCTCCATCCACAAACCGCATGGGCTCTTCTTCTTCACGCACTGAGTTCTTGAACGCACGGAACTTGGCGAATTGCATGTCGCCAGGCGCAGCGACGAGAGACCCGAGGTTTGATTGTAGTGTCATGAGGAGGTTCTGGTAGTCTGGAGATATGAGGCCAAAGAGGTAAATTGAGCCTTCGACCTGTATGGGTTGGAGTGGTTAGAAAATCTGTTCATCAATAAAAGGCAAGTTAGACTTACAGTTCCAACAAAAGCTTTTGGCACAATGACTGCATCCGCCGCAGTCAAAACATCTATCCTGCGTATCCTATTCACCATCTCGCCGAGTAACATCTCGGAGCTGATATTCAGCCGTCTCTTATCTTCATCAGTGACGCCGTTTGGATCGCGGTACAAGACGACGAGGTTACCCTCTGCGTCGCTTTCAAGATACATATTCGTGTCTACCTCTGCCACGGCCGTCGCCCATGTAATCTGGTAATGTCGCGCGACTTCCACGAGCTTATCGGGAAGACCCGTTTCGCCCTTTGTGTATTCAACTACGACGAGTGATTTCATGAGATCCGCTATCGCGATCAAGGAGCCGTTGACTGTGAGGTCTATTGGGGCTGTTGAGCATCGGAATGATGCAAGTTTGACGAGATCGGGTGTGCTAGGGGTTCGGTACTCAAAGTCATACACGACGATTGTCTTGATGAGCGCAGCGACAATCTTGCCTTGGCATATAGCTAGGCACCTGCATCCGCCTTTTACGGCAACCTCAGTGACGAGCTTGAGTATGCGCTCGGGTGTGACTTCCAAGACAATAATACGACCTCGTTCAGATGTCGTGTTCTGGTCATCAACGTATGCGGTACCGACAACAAAGCGCTCTGCTAGCCCACCAGAGCCGTCTGGTAGCTCGCAACGCATGACGCATTCGACCAGCTCTTCTTCGTTGAGCGCATATGTGTCGAGTTCTTTGAATTGTATTTCGTCGACAAGCTTGAAGTGGCTCAGCATGATCTCTTCTCCATGCTTCAGTATGCGCTTTATCGTGCCGAGACCAAAGGCTTTCAGACTCGGTGAGTAGGCTATCCGCCGTACCGTCTCATCAACCTTGAGCGTTTGTACGTGGGTGGTTCTTTCGGTGTCTACAAGCGCAATGCGGAGGTCTTGAGATGTGGCGATCGCAACGGAACCAGGGTATGCTTCTGAATCGAACGGGCAGACTGTTGTCGCTTTTTCAGCTGTAACAGCAGAGTATACAAGGCGGCCTTCTGACGCGTAAATCAAGGAGGGGTGTTCACATGTTGCAAACACGTTGAAGAGACCATCGCCCCGTGGTAGGGCGCGGAAGGTAGCTTCGCGTGTTCCAAGCACAATACTCTTCCTTCCGGAGAGCTCGTGGTTTGACTGGTCAAAAGTGTATGTGACAACATTTCCATCAGCCAAAGCGACAAAGAGTGATGGTGGTTGATCAGGAAATATTTGTGTGAGGAGCAACGAGCGAGGAACAGAGTCGTCGGATATTTGGACGGTTTTCACGGCCTCGAGCGTATCGAGTGAGCATATGGCAAGCTGCGAGTTGTTCCAGAAGCCAACAAAACAAGTGGAGCTGGTTCCAGAGGGTAGGGTAACGCAAGCAACCTGGCTCTCGGCGCCAAATGTCTTCTCCTTGACCACCTGCAGGCCGTTGGCCATGCTCAGGGAGACGATAGTGACGCCACCTAATGACACCAGAACATGAGTTTCATTGACCGAGGCGGCAGTGATGGTCTTTCCGTCTGTTGGCACCCATTCCGATGTGATCATGCCGCCGTCCAAATCACAAATCCGAGCCCGGCCGTTGGTGACTTGAACGATGCGACCTTGTGGAATGTTCGCCGCAGCCAGTGTTGTCTCATCGAGAGCGAGCGAGACAAACTCGTCCACTTCCTCGACTTCCCCTTGAGAATCAAATCGGAAGACGCGCGATTCGTCCACAAAGCTCACCAACAGTGTGTCTATGTACTGAGCGGAAGCAGTTGACTTTAAGCTGAATAGCTCAGAAATATGCTCCATTTCGCCCAACACACCAAGGTCTTCTAGGCCAACGCCACTCCTAACGCTTCGAAGGCTACCATCCTGATATGCACCACTACCGGTCACTATTCGTGCTTGGCCAGAGGAGTATTCGTTGGTTTGACCCTCGCCAGATCTGTTGCCCATATCCATTATAGTAAAATCAAGAATAGGAGCAATGTTGGAAAAGGTTTGGACAATCTCCATTGATTTCTCGGCAATTCGGATGACTTGCGAGTCGCCTTGGTGTGAGCCCACAAACACGTAGCCAGCGTCTAGGTAAACCAGGGTCGATGCACGAGAAGTCTGGCCGATAACATCAAGTTTCCATGACTGCACTCTCCCTTGTGCGTTCAGGACTAGCATGAACATGTAGAGGCGGCCATAGTCGTCGGCGAGAACGAAGCGCTGGGCGTCGATACGCTCCCAAGCCACAAAGATGGTCGCTTCGTCAAGCGGCTCTGTTTGTAACTCTCCACTTTCGTCATCAAAGTATCCAATTGATGTCTCTCCAATGATTACCAGTCCATGTGAAGGTTCCTCGAGTGGGATCAAGTGGCTTGAACCAAGTTCCAGTTCGCTCTTGCAGGTTTCTCCCTCTTGTAGATCGACCTCATCACCGGCATATGTCAATTCTCGTAATCTCAGCTTCACTTGAGCATGTGTGTCTTCGTAAAGTAGAGCCATCTTGGGCTTATCGTCTGTGGATCGTGGGCGCAGGAAAGCGGATGAGCGGACGAACATTTCGGGTAATCGAACCGGCTGAGGATCGCCCAGATGGGCAATGTCCGCCTCCTGCTTTCTCTTCTTTCCTCTCTGAACTAATGGTATGACAGTGAGGATACCCTCGTAGACCTCGATAGTCATGAAGCGGCCAGTGGGATCAATGTGACATCTCTCGCCCGTTTGCGACTCTCTGGCCGCATTATCGGCGACACTCGCAAATGACTTTTCGGTCTGGAGCTGTTTCTTTTCAGTATTCCAGGATAGCGTAAAGTACATGAAACGGTCGGTGCCGACAAAAAGGTGGTCGGTTGGCGATAGTGCTGGTCGCAGCTTCTGGAGCATGGTTACTTTGCCATAGATGGCCTTTGAATGTTTCAGGACCAATCCATCTGCCTCGTGTGTATAGAATTCGAGTCTATTTGACTTCCTACCATGATGTTAGACTCTATCTGTTGCTCTATCTACATGTACTACTTACGCGACCACAAGGCAGTCGTCTTCGGGAGCCAGGAAGTTGAGCTTCAGGGCATGCCTGACGCTGCTTGGCCGGTGAATGGGGGCGATATAGGCCATGACGATGTCTAGAAATGCTCCGAAGCCTGTAGGTGGCTCACAGACTTTAAGTTGGGATTGTCACTGTTGACAGGCCTGGGGACGATCGGATGCATTCCGTCATGAGCTGCACGGGCCGCGGCTCCACGCGACTTCGCGTTGCGGGGCGGAGCGAACTTTTGGCTCTTTTGGAACTTTTTGGTTCCGGCGCGCACTTGTGCTCGCAATTCCTCGCCATACACACACAATGGCTCGTAAGACCAGCCTCTGCCTATAAAAATACCAAGAAGCGCCGACCTTGCTAACTTGACGGGCGAGTTCCAGCAGCCATGGACGTTGAAGACGACGACCCAGTCGTAGCCGAGTACGATGTCTACATCACGCCTGATGTAGCTGAGCAGCAGCTCTACGTCCTCCAGTACCTGAATCGCCCCCCGGACCAACCTTTTACCAAGGCGACTGAAAGCCAGCCGACCGAGCTGCGTATCAAAAAAGACTCTGGCTTCATCGAGGTCGACGTGCCCATCAACATTCACCGCAACTACAACCGCCTCGCTGGTGTACGATGGGGTGAAGCCATGCGCAAGACTAAAGGGTTTGGGCAAAAGGCTTTTGGTATCGCCTCTGGGTTTGAGCGCACCATGCCGCGCAGTGCGAACCGGCCTGGAGCTGCCGGCGAAGGAGCACCCGTAGCACCCGTTACCGCCGAGGATGACGATAATATTGAGGAGTATGTGACTCACTTTGAGGATGCCAACGAGAAGGGGCACGTCCTCAACACACAGACTTTTGGAGGCCAGATTCTGCACGAGGACGGCAAGGGCCCTAGCTACATGCTCGGCACGTTTCGTGACAGTAAGTTATCGCAACCTGAATTGCGTCGTCGACCCTCCGCTAATCTTTGGTAGACGAACTTCACCTCACACGCATTGACGGTCTCGTACAACTCCGAACACAATTTCACCACATTGACGCCTCTGCCCAGCTAGAGGCAATTCAGCGCCGGCGCGAAAAAGAGTCACAAGAGGGCGCAAAGCTTGCGGAGCCAAAAGCCTTCCTCGCCCAGGTTAAAAAGACTGGTGGCGACACGGCTGCCGAGCTGACGCAAGCTTTTATGAAGGCGACAAACCAGGAACAGTGGCAAAGACTCAACTACTTTGACGAAAACGTAAGTAGTCTGGTGCAAGACGGCTGCGCATAGCAACTAATCTCTTTGTAGGATGAGAGAGCCTTTGAGTCATATCACGAGCGACTGTTTATACAAGACGTCGCGTCCGCGCCCAAGCTACAGGCCAAAATTGACAACAGCGGCTTTCTCGACACCATCAGCACGAGCGGCAAAGGAGGCAAAAAGAAGTCCAGGCGCAGTATCCAAGACCTTGTTGAAATCTCCGACGAGTCCGACGAAGACGAAGAAGAAAAAAAGGCTGCAGAGGCCTAAGAAAGTTGAAGTGAATCAATTTCAATGCGCATGGCGAATTGCCCTGGCTCTACTTTGTCACACACTTACTAGATACCCCCAAAACATCATGACGAATATCAGTAGTACCATCAGAACCTTGCTAATCTAGCATCGTTCAAACACACGATACAGGCCCTTCAAGTTTGCGACTTCAATGACCCCGCCCTTGAGCATCCCTCTGGTTCCTACTAGCCGTGCCTTGCATGCCGGAAAGATGGTATACTCGATCGCTTGGAGTATGTTCTTGCGTCTCGCAGCAGTCTCCTCATTCTCATCCTCCTGCGCCTTGCCTTTACCCTTTCCGTTCTTGTCACCATCCTCCTTACCGTCAGTCTCAGCCTCAGGCGCAAACGGCAGGCTCTCCGGCACATAAAACGACGCCAACTCCCTTAGGAGCGTCTGGAAGCACGCTTTCTCCTCCTCCCAATTGACATGAGGACCCAGGCGAAGCAGAAACTGCGGAAGCTTGCCCATGCATGGTGTGTAATCCTTTAATAAAAGCGGTATGGAACAGAGCTCGCCCTGCGGAGTGATGTCAATGGCAAGGTACTCACTCAGCAGCGCCGCCTTGTTAATAAGCTGCTCCCTGACCACATCGACAACTTGACCCCAGTCCACTTCGTTCGCAGAGTCGCCTGCGTTACTTTTTTCCTGCTGTGCTGCTATCTTGAGCAGCTCGTCTAGAGATAAGGGCGGATCAAATCGTATGTATCCGTAATTAGCAAAGTCCGTCAGACCGATTTGGTAGAAAAGCTCGTTGCACAGCATCCCGTAGTCGATAAGAAATAGCTTGACTCCACCCTGGATTGCTGCAATGCGTTTTTGTTCGTCGACAATGCCGACAAATGTGTGTGTCGAGATGATGTCAGTGAGCTCCGTGTGCATTGCGTCGCGTACTTCCCCGCGCAGTTCTTTGATGGATGTCAGGCGGCATGCTACTGGTGTCCTTTCTGTGAATTCGTATTCCATCTCGTTCTCTTCTTCTGAGGCATCGTCTACTGATCGTTCGGGCTGCAGCATTGATGTGATTTTGCGGGTCGAAGTGTCTGTTCGGACTAGATTGTTTTCATTTCGTTTTCTGGTCGATGTCTGTGGTGCTCTTGAGGCACTACGATCTGATGCATCGCCCCTACTAGGAGTCATGGGTAGAGTCGGTTTTAGGGTTGAGAGCGGGACTTTAGGATTCGCCAGCAGTGACTGTGTCACAAAGGACCGGCTGGTGTCGACCTTGCTGAGATTGTCGCGGATCGAGTCACATATCATAGCAATAATCTCGTCTTCGTTCAGGAAGTGTACCTCCCGCTTTGTAGGATGTACATTGACATCAACTCGTTGCGGCTCAATCTCGAGACTGAGGTAGAAGAATGGATGCCCTCCTTTGGGTAGGAACATTCCATATGTCTGCTCAACGCTTTTCTTGATCACTTGAGATTCAACTGAACGGTGATTGATGAAGAGCAACATCTGTGTCTTCTTCGCGCTGTAGTTTGCATTGCTGATCCAGCCGTCGCACTTGAACCCCCAGCGATCATCTTCAACGTTCAAGGCCACTAGGTCGTTGGCGGCACTGATACCATGGATTTGCCGTATGCGATCTTTTACTGTAGCAGATGCAGGTACTGTCACGCTGTTTCCAGAGGTTTCATTTGCCTTTTTGCACGAAAAGGCGACTCCTTGGCAATGCACAGCATAGCGTCCGACAAGTTCGAGTATCTTTGCATACTCTTCGCTAGCTGAACGAAAGGCCCGACGTCGAGAAGGGACATTGTAGAACAAATCTTCAACCTAGCATCACATGAGTTCCATCGCCCAAATCTGATTCCGTTTTGACATACTGTAATGGTGGTACCTTGCCGTCCTGCTTTGGGCTTTGGTTCTGCGCTCTGGCCTGGCTTTGGACTGATGAGCTTGCCATCTGCGAAATGAGCTTCCCAAGCACAACTTGACTCTTTTGTCCTTGTAGTGACTTTGAGATGGGCAATGTGGCTGATACTCGCCAGCGCCTCGCCACGGAAGCCATACGTGCCGATTGAGGTTAGATCCTCAAAGGCCTTGAGCTTAGAAGTAGTAAAGCGCTCGCACAAGATTGGCAAATCTTCTTTCTGGGATAGTTAGAATATGATGTTGCTATAACAAGTCAAACATACGTCAATGCCATGTCCGTTGTCTGTAATCTGCAGAAGCTTGAGACCACCATCTTTCACTAAGATCTCCAGTGCAGTCGACCCCGCATCCACGGCATTTTCAATCAGTTCTTTCAACGCATGCACAGGTGCGACGATGATTTCCCCGGCAGCAATCTTATTGACGACATCCTGCGAAAGTGCCTTGATCCTGCGTGGCGCAGGAAGTGAAAGGCTATCGTCGCCTTTGCGTTTAGTTCCACGTGGCGATGACTGTGAAGTATCCATTTCGTCGGCCATGTTTGCGAGTCGACAGGCAGAGAGAGACGTATCTTGTGGAGGTAATAATGATGATGGCACAAGTAAGATAGACTAGACGGAAGGCGCGATACGTGAAGCGCCCCACTTTCGCGCGCTCACGTGCCAGTCTACGTACTACCCTCTCTTGACGCAACGCCTCTCTCCTTGTAACCATCTTCATGACCTGTATTCAATCTTCGATCGCGCGAAGAGAATATGAGCACCAGTGAAAGAACAACATGCCAAATTACACTAATGACTTTCTCCAATGATTAATCACCAACCCTCTATCGCCACAGTGACATGCTTAAGCAGACACGCGCACTGCAAATCATTTGCGCAGAATATTGTTCTTTCTTTCGAAAACTACTGGCGACTTACATTTTATTCCATTATTCTAAAAGAGTTATTCTGCGTTGAACATGGCAGCTCCGTCATACGCTCGCGCCACAGCCTCGTCCACTTCAAAAGCCAGCCCAAAGTCATCAAGAACCACCCGGAACCTAGAGTGGGTAAAACCGACTCCATCGCCAAGCTCCAAGAGATTGACAGAATCGCGTGGACAAAACAAAGCTACGATGCCGTCGAGTCCAAAGACACCAACTAGACTAAGCAAAGCCAACAACTTCACTCCGACATCCCAGGAAAAAAAGAAGGCCCTCAAACGCCCCTCGACGCTCACATCCCACCAAAAAGACAACATGATTTACAAACGCGACCTCTACCATATCACCCCAAAAGACTCCTCAAAGCCTTGTTCCCTGTCCCTTCTCCCGTCAGAACTCCGTACCCAAATCTACACCTACATCCTCCCCTCAACCTACTACATCTCGCCCTCGTGGCCCTCCTTTAGCAAACCCAAGCACCACGCACCCCCAGCCCTTCTCCACATCAGTCGCGCTATCCGCATCGAAGCAGCATACACCTATTACACAACCACAACCTTCCACTTCACCGTCCGCAATCTCGACTTCTCACCCGTAACACGCTGGCTCGAGGACCTAGCTCCCCAGCACCGCGCATTGCTCCCCCGGAACCACCACGGTCTGGAAATCAACGTCATCCCTGCTGTAAGAAGCACGTTTACGTATCCGCCCAAGGGATGGCTGCTAGATGCAGATATTGAACATCACTGGCGGGCGTGCCAGCCCTTTGGCAACATCTACACGGTGCGCGGCGAGGCGCACAAGATACATTTTGTGGTTTTTTGTCGACTGGCCGAGTGGTGGCGGTGGTGCGGGGTGCTGCACCTCAAGGGGGAGGTGAAGTGCAATTATGCGTTTGAGCAGAGCCCGTTTGCGAATCCGTTTGGTATCCCGGATTTTCTGGATGAGGTGGTGCTGAGGGCGTTTTTGAGGCACCATGGGTGTGTGATTGGTATGTCGTGTGTGGACAAAGCGTGGAGGAGGAATAGGAGGGCCGCGGCGGGGATGAAGGGTGAGGGGCTACGGTTTTTGGAGGCGTTGGATAAGTGGTATAAGGATAGATGGGGGGAACAGGAGAGTATAAATGAGTGGGATGTGAATATGGAGGAGGCAAAGAAGGCTATTGGGAAGTGGTAGTCAAGAAATGCTTATTTGTAGGCTCTTAACATATTCTTTTTGGGCGCTAGGAATTCCAACCATTATCGCTAGCTGAGACAGGATAATGACCAGCCTTGTTTTAGCAAAAGTACCCTTCCCTCCTTTGGAATTCGAATAATCGAACAAACTAGCACGAGCCGTCCAAACGCCTACAAAACGCCGATATCTGCCGTGGGTATCGCGTCCAGCTCTCTTTGCAGCATACCTTCATCAGAATACACAAAATCTAGCGTTGACGAAGAAACGACGGCTCAAAGCCATAAATCGGGTTCCCAAGCTATTATCATCATTAGCATTTCTTCTTTCCCCTCGATACCCTTCCACATCAAACAAAAGAAAACTTACCCGTTGCAGCGCAAACACAACATCAGTAACAGCAACCGTCTGCCTGCCACTGCTATCAATAATAGCGCAAATATCTTTAAGAATCTAAGAAATACAGCATTAGCAACGATAAATGTATAAAAAAAGGAACGTGTCGTAAGAATAAAGCAACACATACCAGTGCCAAACGCTCCCGCAGCGCCTGGCGAATATCGGAGTACACTATAGCAGATATGCGCTTAACGCCACCACGGCGCGCTAGTCGTCTATCATAGATACCGTTAGTAAACCCCTCGCTATTCCCCGCAAAAAAAAAAGAAGAGCATTTCTAAAAATGACTAATAGGTACCTGATATCGCCCTTTGTGATACCATGGATACTATCTCTTTGAATCTTCCTATGTAGTTCCACTCTGTTAGTTCTCGCACGTATATACACACGCATTTACCTAGCAAGAAGGTTAGTACTTGACATACATGTGTCGCTTCATTGGACCTTTGGGACGCCCAAGGACGCTCTTTCCGAGGCCGCTAGCGCCTCGACCGAGGCCTAGGCCGAGCTGCGTCGCTCTTGATGGTGTAGACGACGACGGTGGCTGAGGTCGAGGAGTTGATGATGCGCCAGTGTAGCGCGGTATGGCGCTAAACTGATTAGGCCTTTGAGTAGACATCGTTGTGGGTATATGAAAGATAGTAGGTGTACCGATCGAGAACAAGGCGTGTGGTGGTTGGTAAAAGGGCTACGCGTGTCCACGCGTTTGGTTGGGGACGCGCTATCAGGTGAGATAAGTGAGGGGAGGAAGTAAGATGAAAGCAGAGTGTGGGGTATCGATAGCGAGGTTGCATACGCTGCAGATAAGGGGAATGCAGGGCAAGCCGTTCTGTACCACAACCAAGCTCGCCAAGGCGGGAAAAGGCCAAATGCCAAACTGCACATGCATGATAGATAAAGCAAAAGTACATGATGTAATACGACTTCTTGAGCGTGACAAACGTTATTCATTAAACAACCAGGTCCTAGTCCTGATATATTACTACTACTTGGGTATCAAGGATAGCTGAGGGTCGTCATGTCCAAAACCTGGAGAGCCCAGCTACGAGATGAAGGTGGCCTCAGTGAAAAGTGTGCCCTCCTCCTCCTTGACCTCATCGCCAACCTTGACCTTGATGGTCATCTTGGGCGCATATTGGTAGATATATGGCTTGGTGCCTGCTGCACTGGCAACAATGGTCTTGATAAAGCCCGGCACTTCGGCCATGACGTCAACGCGGTCGATTGCCTCACCAAGAGAGCCTGCGATGTCTGCGGTGACATCCTTTCCATCCTCCGTCTTCCCAACCCAGTGGTAGCTTGCTGCGGTAGGCGCTGGCCAGCCAGTCTCGTCTTGCTTGGACTCGGTGTGCTTCACGTCGCCTTCGGTGTTTGCAAATAGGAGCTTGCCGTCGGTGGCAATACCGGCGACTCGGACGATTGTTGATGCGTACGAGGCGGGGGTTGTGAACTCCATGAGAATAGCGGAGTATGAGGGGGACTGGAAGTTGACAAAGTTCCACCGGGCAGCTAGATGTGTTTAGCAGGGGGTATGTATAGATTGTGCACGGTGCCTACCAGCGTGATGGGGCTTCATTCCCTGAAGAGCATGGCTCAGCATACCGCGGCCCTTGACGTCGACTGGGCCCTCTTTGGTGTGAATGGCGCCCTCGACGCTGCATCGGGGCCAGAAGTGGTGGTGCATCGACCCCCATGGCTCCTTGGGGTTGGTACCGTAATTGGTGGTGCCATCCTTTCCACCCATAAATCCAGGCGCGGTCCTGGTGAACTTTACATCTACCATGCAGTCCTCTCGGACGGCCGCCTTGATGGTGTACTGGGTGCCATCCTCGGAGAGCTCAACGGAGACGCCGTCGGCGAAGAAGGAGTGCTGCTTCTCATCGAAGCCGTAGTTGTAGACGGGGTCGCTTGCCCAGAGGAAGGGCTTCTCGTTGTTAGGGAAGAAGAGCTTGCAGTTGAACTGCACAGTCACACGGAGGCCACTATGCAGAGTAAGCACAGAAGCGAGGCGGGTGTACAGAAGGGGCCAACGCACGCAATGTTGTTGTAGATGACCTGCAGGAAACCCTGGTGGCCGGCGTCGCTGAAGATGTAGAAGGTCTGTGTTTCGACATTGGTGTAATCGAGGGTGGACCACTTGAGGTGATCCTTGGTCAACTCAGTGTAGGCAGGCTCGTCGCCCTTCTTGCCTACGGGCTGGATGGCCTCAGGACCGTATTCGGGCTCCTGGGTACCGGCAACCGCGGCTAGCCTGCATCCGTCAGTCGGCGTACTCGAGTGCAGTGCAGTGCAGTGCAGTGCAGCACCCAGCCCAGCATCCAGGCATCCCTCGTCACTCACGTTGACTTTGCCCAACTGAACATTTTCGGGCACGGCGATGCACTGCACTATTATGCAACGGGGCGTGCGAGGCTCAGTCTTGATTGGGCGGCGACAGGGAAGAAAATCTCTGTAAAGACTTGTTCAACAGGGCCGGGAGCTAAGATGTCGAAGGGAACAAGAGCACGGCAGGGCGTGCAAGGGCGAGACCAACGGGGTGGAGCAGGCTGATGTGTCGTGGGGGGGCGGGAGGACGCAGAGGATTGAGTGTATGTGGCAGCAGGGGAGAGGGAGAGGGAGAGGAGAGGAGTCTCTGCTGGGTAGTGTACTTGTGCCTGCACGAGAGTGGCTAACTATGGACTGGAGCCAGCAGAGGCGGTCGGTGGGTGAGTGGGTGCAGGTGGATGGCAAATGCAAAGGGTCGAGGCTTAGCCGCAGCCTCCCGATGTTCCTTTCCTTTGCAGACGGATACAGATAGGGCAAGCCGCGCCAGGTGCTATCCACAACCCCTCTGAAGATCATTTCTCGCCGCTTTTCTGCCGCCCGGCCACTGCAAAGTACTTACATAGACACGTTGGTACCACCGCCAGCAGCAGCAGCATCACCACAACCCCGGTCTCCCTCTTGTCTGCCTGTGCCAACTCCGAGCTTCCCGCACCATTGCGGACGAATTGGCGCAGCGCACTCGACGACTAGCGCGGGGCTCCATCTGCATCCACTTAT